TCAGCGAATAAAGTTTGATGGAGTAGTCATAGGGCCTTGCCTCGCTGCACTGCTTGATGATGGAAGATTCGTGTTGCTCCGCCGTACGCAAGTCGGCCTGCAGCACCTGCAAGAGCTCTCGGCCAACATTTGCCTTGTTCTCATCGCTGTCAGATACGATAACGTTAAGAGCTGCAAACGGAAGGATGAATGTAGCTATTGATAAATCGTAGCCTCTGATGATTCTAGCCAGAACAGGGAAGACCATCTCAACATTGACACCTTGCCCTTTTCGCAACAGGTCGTAAACAAAGGTCTGGAGCCAGGTTCCATGGCTAAGCTTCGAGTTGAAGATCGGATATGTCGGACCCTCGTACTGTATTGATGGATTCATGTTGACGGAATATTTGGAATCCAGGAAGGGCGTCAAAACAGTTCTGACGGCCTCTGGAATATCATTCCAGCGTTGTGCCTCTGTGCTAGTCTGCGAAGACCGAGGCTTTGCCCCGCGGAGAGCGCTGAACCCGCAATGCTTGAGCATCTCCTGCATGGCATAGGCGATCCAGCCCTGTGCTTTAGCATTTGTGGTAGACAGGAAGACTTTGACCAGAACTTGCTCAAGGAGCAATGCCACAAAATCGATGTCCTCGTCTCTCCGTGAGAAGTTTGATAGCATCAAGACGCGCTTCTTTTCACGAACTGTTTCCACTCGATATGGATCAAGACCGCCGATGATACCAAGGCATTGAGCACAAAGGATGGTGATATCAGAATAGTCTTCAGAGAACCGTACGCTGGCGTCAAGGAGAGACCGCGTCAACGCCGCTAATATCGGGAGAGGCTTTTGACCGACTACTGACTGGTGCAGCTCTCGCTGGTTGGCATCTAGAAATGGCACAAGCTCTACCAGTGCCTGTCGCACTACGACTGAGTTCTGATCTTTGCATCGATTGCTGAAGGCATGGAAGACCTTGATGGTCTCGACCATATCTTTGAACTTTACCAATTCTCCCTCAATTTTGGAGAGCATTGGTATGCCCGCTAATGAAGGAAGGTATTCCACTCTATCTCGAAGTTGCGCATTATACTGCTGTATTATGCCCTCAATAGCTTTGTGAGCCTTGAGCTGCGTATCTTCGGAGAAAATTGACCAGTGTTGTACGATCAATGCGAATGTTTGATCAACGACTAGCATTGTCTCGTCTCCATCGAGAGCTGCCAAGAACGCAGACCAGACAGTGAATGTATCGTCGCATAGGTCTGGATCTCCCATGGCCGATTGGAGACAGGCGCGAATCTGTGGCAACGCTCCATTTACGCTAAATCGCGCAAGGTGGATGAGATCCCCTATAGCAGCTATGCATCTCTTCCTTTCGGGCATTGTATGGGGTGTTGCCTTCCCCTGGGCGTTGGGGGCTTCGATGACATTCGAGAAATATGCTATAATGCCTAGAATATGTGTCTCGCAGAATGCATCCAGGTTCTTGGTCTTTGAAGTAGATTTACGCTGACCTGATTTCGTGTCCGGCGCGAGCGATGCAAGGGTACTGAATCCTTTGTAATAGGGCTTTTTCCTAACAATTTCTTGGTCCGCCGCTAGTTTCAGTATCTCGATGGCAACGCCAGTTATATCTAGTGCAACCCAAGATTCGAGCTTGTTATTACTGCCATCCCGGATAGCAGGCTCAATGGCTGCTAGAGTCTCCATCGCTGTCTGCTCGACTTCAGCGACGGGCTGTGATAAAAGCAAGGCGAGTATCCTCGCAAGATTGGCTCTTGGATGCGTCAAGACGTCAATGACAGAAGCTTTCCGTGCCTGGGCGATCTTCTCAATGATGTCTCTTCGTTTGCTCAATACAAGATGAGGAAGAGTATCCGCTTGGGTCTGCACCAATAATTGACGGACGCTTTGCTCAGTCAAGTCAGCCAGCTGCTGCGCCTTCTGAGGCTGGTTGACGATGTCCTTGATGACTGAGAAGCCAATGACCTTCCAATAAGGGCTTAAAAGCTGCATCGTATCCATGGAATACCCTTTAGCGATCGACTCAAGTTCGCGGTAAGCCATACCGCATACCAGTGCGTTTGGATGGCCTAGGTATTCGATGAGGTGGTGTAATATTATGGGTAGCTCTAGTTCGCCGCTGGTCAATGCGGTTCGACCATATGCGATGATCAACGTTTCCTGATCGGACAAGATGTTGCGTTTCGCCAGAGCATCCAGAAACTCTACGAAAGACCGCCGATTTTTCCCACGAACGGTTTTGGATATGTCATCTCGTAAAAACACCATCAAGGAACTTGTCGCAGCGAGTTTCAGTTCCCGTAAAGATCTACTCATAGACGCAAGCAGCCACTGTCCTAGCTCACATACCTCGAGAGACAGATACTCAGGGTCAGAGATATGGTTGTAGACACGGCCAATGGCCACAGCCATAAGCACCCGGGATTGCGATGACGCCTCGAACTCTGGTTCTTTCGTGATCGCAAGCATGGCAGCAATAGCGTCCTTCCAGCTCTCTGCATCGTCCTGTTCGTTCCAATGCATCGCGGCGTCTCGTCCATTTCGTGAGTTTGCATCACACAACATACAGACAAGTGACTGCAGTGGCTGCGAAGCTGATTGTGATGGTTCCAAACACCGGGACCCAGCACATGCAATCTTTGTGAATGCTGTCATAATATCCACTTGTGTACGCTCGTTCTGCCGTTCGTCGTCCATCATGGATGAGTACCTTGTTCTGTTGAAGTCAGCAATGGCTATCAGAACCAATTGAGACGACTTACTCCATGATGTTGTGAAGACTAGACAGGTTGAAAACAGGTGAGTCCTGACTACTGCCATTCAATATCATCATGAGTCGCTCATATATAGTACGATTGATGTCAGAAGTGTCTGGTAATGTCTTTCGCCGTTTGGTAGGCCTCTCTTCGGTTCCTAGGTTTAATACGCGGAATAGTTTTAGGATTCGCGTTGATTCCTCAGCAAGTTGAGCGTTCGAAAAATTGCCAGTGTCACTCTCACAGAGCTCTTTACGTATGTCTGCGACAGACATAGGCCATGTGCCTGGTGCGGTCCAGAGACAAAGGGCCAGCTGGTATATGTTAGTATAGATCGACACTGCAGTGCTCGTTTCATACCTGTAAGTCTTTATGGAGCTTAGAAAAATGATCCACATCCCGGCAAGCCTTAGCTATAATCTCCTCAACATCGTGTAAAACGATTGTTCTGCTCGCTTCCTGCCGACGCCGGATTGTCGGGATATTTTCAGGCGATGAGACAAGTGCACTGCGTAAGTGGGTGAGGATGATGGCCAGCCGCACTTGACTGCTCTCTGATGCCGGCAATGATGGTAAGCCATCAACAAACTCGCGGAGGCTAGTGATTAGTGCCTGCGCATTCTTCAACGAAGTACAGGTGCGGTCTCCAGGCGCCAATGAAGGAAGAAACAGTATTTCTAGTAGCTGCAAATATACAAGCGTAATCTCATCGGAGAAAGGACGCTTCGCCGAGCTTGTTGTCCATCGCCTGAAATATTTCCATAAAGCTTGAGCACTATCTATGATCCAGGGTAGATGATGATCTAAGGCACCAGGCGTCACAGATTCCCTCTCTTGAGGCTGGATAGCATTAGCCAACGCCAGAAGCAGACAGAAACCAACGTTTATGGCACCGAGTTGCGAAGTGATGGTTCGCTGCAGATCGTGGGGCAAAGCAATAATTTGCTGGCTTTCTGGCCAGAACACACTGATGTTGCTTGATGATGGCAGGGCAACACTGAAAGACGGCGCAGGTACCGAAACCGGATCGTCCACGGATTGCAATTTTGTCAGGATAGCTGGAAAGAGGTAAGCGGATGGGGAAAGGGTTCTGGCTTAGTACTCACATTGCACACACGACCTGTAAAGTTGTGAGACTACTGCAGCTGAGCGCCAGAGGGCAGATGTCCGAGCAAGCACGCTTAGGCACAGATGGAGCAGTTGCTGTACATGTTCGTGCACAGAATTGAGTGTTGTATACGTCAACAGGCCCAGTAACTTGGGGTATAACCAGAGAATAAGTGGAGGCCGAGGTATACCGTCGTCTTCGCTGTCCCGGGTGCTCAGCAGTAGATGTGGCTTCTGTTGCAGGATGAAGGTGAGCGCGGCAATACTGTCAATGCCTTGCTGCCTCTGCTGGTCCTGGGCAAACGGATCATGTTTGAACAGTCCCTCAAGACCGGCTTCCGCGATGACGCACACGAGCGCTACGAGTTGTTGATCAGGCTCGTCGGTGTTTGGATGTTGAAGAAACTCCTTTACTAGTTCACCAAAACTGACTTTGGTTACTTGGCCATGCCGCGCATTGACATTTGAAGCGTTATGTACAATTTGAGCCGCGATGGTCGAAGGGGGCGGAACGCCATTCGAATTGCCGTTAGTCACTGGTGGCGGTGCCATCCGCTGAGTCGAGCTCCCGCCTTTGCGGGCCATGATGCACGTTACCGACGTGGCATGTCGCGTAGGTTGGGAAAGAGTGCAGCCTTGAAAGATGGCCGGACACCTGGTTGTTGGCGGTGATGCTGGATTTGGCTTTAAGCGAATGCCTGTACAAAGTTCGACTGATTCAAGATGGTATTGTTGATGGAGTGGCGTCTGATTGGACGCGGGTGGGGGTCTCTGCAATTTGCTGTGCGGTAGTCCCAGGCTTTCAACGAGTGTTGTTTCGTGTTATTGATACGATAGTCCGGCAGTCGTCGCAAAATGCGCGATGTAGGCAGATGTGTGTATGGTGTGTAAGGTCCACAGAGAAACTGTATGGATTACATTGACGCGAAGTCGCGTAGTCACGAGACCCCGCTAAGTTCTATCTTGGTAAAGAGCGCTACTCCGCAATTCCACCTGAAAGCATCGAACCACCCTTGCTCAACATCGAAAGCACCGAGATCGCAACCCCAAACGCTACATAGATCGAGCACGCATTATACGCATATCGGCGCCTACTGTGCACGTCTGCAGGATCTAGCATCCTCTAAGCCGCAGCCATGCCTGGCCCATTCACTTCGAAATCTTTCAGCGCCACACTACCCAACTCGCTCGCCGCCCGATACCGAAAATCACTCCAGAAACATCCGTTCCTACTCTTCGGCCTACCATTCCTCTCCACCATCGTTCTAGGGTCTTTCATGTTGACGCCCGCCACAGCGCTGCGATATGAGCGCTACGATCGCAAGAACCAACAAATAACACATGAGCAGGCTATGGGCCTGAGAGGAGAGCGGAGGAAGGTTAATATGAAGGATGAGTACTACGTACGTATAACAGGCAATATAGGTATTGGACGAGCATGGGCTGACAACTGCACAGAGATTGCAGGCTAAAGACCTCGAGGACTGGGAACAGAGGCGTGTCAAGAGGCTGCCGGGAGAGCCAGACGGCACACTTGTGTAGGGACGAGACAAATAATCAAAACAGCATCTGACACGGCGTTACGGAAAATGATTAGCATAGCAGATTCGATACCTCTGTACGATACAGACCCCTCCACTTTCTACAGTAGGCGCATACTGCACATGAAAACGGACACCCATACTAGCTTGATTGGGGCCATGATACCTGAATTTATACCATGAAAATGTTTGCTATATGACATTTGAATTGTTCCACGGAGTCGATTTAACACTGCATCCTCTGCTCGACCCGTGATAAGTCAGTGCATCGAAGCTGGGAACGACTCGCTCAGCGAAGACACTATCTCTGACGAAAGAGCCTTGCAGCGACAGAAACAAAGTGCGCTATTCTTGTGGTGTCTGTTGGGAACTGAGGTAGCAACTCGAATCCGAATCGTATCTGGGACGGGAAATACGACTTCTGTGTACGCATGGCTATAGCCTCGACGTGACGCATTATTATTCGTGTGATATATATGGATCACGCTCGTGTGATTTGAATCGAGCCGGCCATGAAGCGAACAATGAGAAAGAATACGCAAACTACATGCTCAGGATCGCTTCAAATGCAAGACATGAACGGGACAAAGACTACGCTCGAACGCCTCGCTACGATCAACAGATAGGAGATAGGAAAAGGAGCCTTAGAGAAGCAATGAAAGTACTACAGCACACACGAGTGCATAGTACATAAGAGGAGATGAAGAAAAGGAAAATATGCGTGGGCATACCAAGATGAATCTAGTCGTGATACCCGCCAACTGTGAGAGCATGGGGATTGGAAGCACAGATAAAGGTGTAGACATAGACCGAGTGACAAGGGTGCAGACTTGTTGTTAACAACACCTACCACTCTTGCTCTTCTGCACCCGATTGATGTCTTCTTCCCAATCTTGTTGGTGTACAGCGACGGCTGGTGTAGTTGGAAAGCCCAACCAACTCCGCCTCTTATCGCCTGTGCCCAAGCGGAAACTGCCATTGCCGTTCCCAGGGTAATCGAAATACCCAGCCACATTGCCGTTGTTGTCCATGGCCGGAGTGACTCCAGCCATAGCGTACTGGCGTTGTTCTTCTTCGAGCTTCTTCTGTTGCTGTTCGACCAACTTGCGGGTGATAACACGGAAGACCTCGTCTACACCTTCACCATCTTTGGCGCTGATCTCATGACAACAATCCCAGCCCAAATCTTGTCCCCAGAAGCCGCTCGATCGGTTACTCTGTGGCGATGCCATACCGCCGGTGTGGAAGGCTGCCGGTACAGAGCCCCAGCCGCTTGTCTGAGCACTGTGTGGCGGCCCATTCTGCGTAGGGTAGAGATTTTCGGCGACGTATTCAATGCAGCGCTCAAACGGCACTTTTCGCTTGGCAGGGTCTTCGGCTACGACATCTGACTTTGTTCCTACAACATGGAGAATCACGTCTTCTCCGAGGTTGGTTTTGAGTTCTTTAAACCAGCGGCCCATCTCGTCGAACGAATAGGGATCGGTGATGTCGTAACATAGTACTGCAGCGTTTGCACCTGCAGAAGAGTTGGTTAGCTTTTCGGTAGAGTGTTTGGGCTACGGCGAAGAGTGGAAGGATGTCATCTCGGCCATTGCAAAGTATATTCCAAAAATCAACACAGCGGGCTGCAGAGACGTATTCGAAGTAAGGAGATTATTGGCGTACCTCTGTAGTATAGCTTGGAGATGGACCGGAAGCGCTCTTGACCTGCTGTGTCCCATATTTGTAACCGGACTACGGTGGACGTATCGATATCCACGACCCTCTTGGTCAAGAAGGATGCGCCGACGGTCGACTGTGTTGTAGGAGGTGTAAAGGCGTTCTTCACATATCGGTGGACGAGGGAAGTCTTCCCAACGCCTTGGCTGCCGAGGACCACAATCTTTGCTTCAAGGCTGTTGGACATGGCGGTACAAACTGTCGTCACTCGCCAAAGGTGTGTGTATTCGTCGACGGTCGGCGGTGCAGGGGTGGGGCGGAAGGCGGATGCTGTGGGGTCGACTCAGGTATGCGCGGTGCCTCGGAGCCAGGAAGAAAGGAAATGCGTGGTAGGCGGTCGCAGGACAAGTTGCATGGCGTGCAGTGAAAGCGTGTCGCCGACAACTGTGAGAAGAGGCAGAGAATTGACGTAGAGCCTGTCTGAGAATATTAGGCAGGAGGTGAGTGACCGAATGACAGTCCACCGTGTTTGGCGCTTGCACCGATTCTCTTGGCTAGGGGAGCCCATGTGACAGACGCCTTAAGCCAATGTGAATCAGATGTGGGAGGGACGCATCGAACATGGAAAGATGGGCGTCCATCGTGATCGCATTCTGGAGACTGATTACCATCCTGGGGATGACGCGCCATGTTGATTCTCGTGGGTTGGGCAGTCAACAATGCACGTCATGCCCACCCAGCTAGCTGTCGTTGCTTTCCCCGCGTTTCGGAGCAGAGCCCGCTTCTTCCACGCGACCGATAGGTAGCGATTAAAAACGCTGCCACTTACCCTGAAACAAAAGTCCACGTTCCTCCGACCGATGATATATCTCTAGGAAGACCGGTCGGCGGTCGACTGTCAGGGATCGAGACGGGATACCAAATGTGACAAGCCCGGACATCCAGCTCGCCTCGAGCTTGACGGTACTAGCTTGCTTCCATTCTCCGCGACCAGCATCCGAAGCCTGCGGGGATGAATGTACCGAGCTATCACCCCAAACATGCTGCCGTCACCAACCTGGCCCTTCCGCCCGCCCAAGCTTTTAGTGCCTGGAAATAACCTAGATCGGCTCCATATATTTTCTGGCCTATCTTCGCGACTTGATTACCTATCCTCCAGCATCCTGCGCCTACCACAACACCGCGACGATGAACCACGACAGTAATGACACCCAGAAGGTGAAGCTCACCGGCGAGCAGGTCGCTGAGCACAACAACGCCGAATCCTGCTGGGTCATTGTCCACGGCCGCGCCTACGATGTTACCGAGTTCCTGCCTGAGCATCCCGGAGGCCAAAAGATTATCCTAAAGTATGCCGGCAAGGACAGTACTGAGGCGTTCGAGCCCATTCACCCGCCCGACACTCTTGACAAGTATCTCGATAAATCCAAGCACTTGGGCGAGGTGGACATGAACACGGTCAAGGAAGAGGCGAAGGAGGTCGACCCTGATGAGGAAGAGAGACAGAAGCGCATTGAGCGCATGCCCATCCTGGAGCAATGCTACAACTTGATGGACTTCGAAGCTGTCGCGCGCAAGGTCATGAAGAAGACTGCATGGGCATACTACTCCAGTGGTGCAGACGACGAAATCGTGGGCTCATCCCAAATACCATGTCCTTACCCAGACTGACTCTTTCCAGACATTACGAGAAAACCACAGCGCATTTCACAAGATCTGGTTCCGGCCACGCGTACTCATCGATGTCGAGAAGGTCGACATGTCCACCACCATGCTCGGCAGCAAATGCGACATTCCCTTCTATGTCACTGCGACGGCATTGGGCAAGCTCGGCAATCCAGAAGGAGAGGTTGTGCTCACGCGCGGCGCACACAAGCACAATGTCATCCAGATGATACCCACACTGGCATCTTGCTCGTTTGACGAAATCATGGACGAAGCAAAAGACGGTCAGGTCCAATGGCTGCAATTGTACGTCAACAAGGATCGCGAGGTCACAAAGCGGATCGTGCAGCACGCCGAGAAACGCGGCTGCAAGGGTCTCTTCATCACCGTCGATGCACCACAGCTCGGTCGTCGCGAGAAAGACATGCGGAGCAAGTTCGACGATGTCGGAAGCAACGTTCAGAGCACCGGCGGAGACAATGTTGACCGTAGTCAAGGCGCCGCACGAGCCATCTCGTCCTTCATTGACCCGAGCCTCAGCTGGAAAGATATCCCGTGGTTCAGGAGCATCACCAAGATGCCCATTATTCTCAAGGGTGTGCAGTGTGTTGAGGATGTTATCCGCGCCGTTGAAGTTGGCGTCGAAGGCGTAGTTCTTTCAAACCATGGTGGTCGTCAGCTCGATTTTGCTCGCTCCGGTGTCGAAGTGCTCGCAGAGGTTATGCCCGTTCTTCGCGCACGCGGCTGGCAAGACCGCATTGAAGTCTACATCGATGGTGGTGTCCGACGTGCCACAGATATCATCAAGGCTGTCGCACTAGGCGCCAAGGGTGTAGGTATTGGCAGACCTTTCCTCTACGCCATGTCCGCATACGGTCTCCCAGGTGTCGACCGGGCTATGCAGCTTCTGAAGGATGAGATGGAGATGAACATGCGCCTGATCGGTGCCTCAAGCATTGCGGACTTGAATCCTTCTATGCTTGACACAAGAGGACTCAGTATGCACACTGCCACTGTACCTCACGACACTCTGGGGATGAATGTGTATGATCCGCTTATCGGCCCTCAAGAGAGTGTTGTCAAGGCGAAGGCCAAGTTATGAGGAGCTTGTGCGTGTATTGTATATCAACCCCAGGCGCAAAGGATTTGTTCGAGAATCGTCAAGTATTACATATCTTCACAGCATGCAATCTTTCATTCAAATAAATATTTCATCAACTTATCTAGTGCCCTTGATCACTCTCCCATTTGTCGTTGTTCGCCATTTTGCCCTGTGAAGTATGGAGGGCTTTGTTTCAGGTCGTGACCACGCGAGAGCGCGTTCGGTCGGTGGGGAAGGAGCGCTGGGTGGACCTGCCGACCGTCAAGCGTCCGTGGGTCACTCTTCTCACTTCACTCAGGGCAAGCCTCAAAGATTCACATTATCGCATGATATTACTATATATTTTTTATTCTTGAATCGCCTTCGCATTAACGTTTGTGACTTTTCGCTTCTATTAACATTATCCTATGGGTGCTACTGAAGGCGCAGCGCAACCCGGCGCTGGCTGGGACGAAGCGCAATGTACAGCAGCACTCGCACAATTGGAGCAGCTCCAGGCGCAGGTGAGACTTCCCTAACGCCGTTCCTGAACTCATACTGATATGCGACAGATCAACGACATGCGCCTAGCTATCCCGCGCATCATCGAGCCTTTCCATCGTCCTCGGAGTTCCGCGACTTATAAGCTATATGTTGAGGGCGTGAAGGGTTCCCAGAACAACCTGAATGCGCTCACGAAACAATGGAAAGACCCCGATATGCAGAGCACATTCGAGCACGTCAAGCAAAGCTTCGGCGCAAATGCGGATCTATCGGAAAGCGTCTCCATGCCCTCCCACGGATGGGTAGAAAGAGCACGGAAGGCAAAGGAGTCGTCAAAGAGCAAGGGATCTGAAAACGTAGATGATGCCGGTGCCACACTCACTGAAGAGGATGTATCTCGAATCGTGGTGGATTTCCGCAAGGCACACCCAACTCTAAAAGTGGAGGCACAAGATGATGATCGCAGCATATATGTATGGCATCCATACGCCTCGAATGACTATCTGCTCACATACGTAACAGATGCAGTTCGTTTCCGGTTCTCTCATGCTGAAATTCCGTATTGGCATCGAGCGCGAAGCAAACGGACGCTACAAACTTAACGCCGAGTGCTTGGGTACAACAGAGCCCTTTTTGGCCATCACAAGATGCATTGCATCTCGGCCAAATGCTGACGATTTGAGATATCTACTGGTACGTACATGAAATTCCATGCCATGGGTATGGTTTGACTGTATGCTAACCATAACAGGATATGATTGCTGCATACAAGACCGTGAAAGGAACTTCGTGTGCCAGGTGTGGAAAACTTCTCGACAAGTCGGCACTGACACCCACCGCAAGACGAAGCAAACAGGTCGCCAGCACGACTGAGACTCCTCAAACTATATGGGAAGCGACCCACGAAGGCTGCATCTGAAAGACTTTTTCCAATTAGCAAGGCATTACGACACATGTCTGTCCATGTCGTTCATAAATGGGCCACCCTAAAGAAATGGTAGGTATCGTCCATCCTGCCACCAACCACCATACACATCGCGCAGAGCTTCGGGAAACATGTTCCATTTTCTGTTCTTATAAGGATCTGGTTGCCATCTCGCGTCTGTCCACATGCGAGGATGCCGATCTACATACTTTCGCGTACGGAAGTCGTAAACCATTTCGCGTGAACGTCCACCTGACAGCACACCTCCCTCTGTCCAAGGGGCGAACTTGGTAGGGTTGAAGGCGGGCTCCGAGAAACGGTCATCGAGATTGACATGTTTGGACCATTGGGATCGCGATGGGCGTTTGGCCACAAAATCTCTTGCATCAGCCGCAGAGCCAACGAAGATGTCTGGACCTTTGCCTTGGAGAATGTCTTTCATTCGACCCAACTTAGAACCATTTCTACCATCTTTTGGCCAGATGAAAGCTTTCGATATTTTTGGGTGTCGCAGTTTTCGTTCGTCTTGATACCATCCATTGGATATATGGGGTTGACCGCGAATGTATCGGGCTGGTCTGTGTCTCCAAGGGCTTGGGACACGGTGGAAGAACGGCGGCTCAGGCAAGAAATCAGTCATAACTAGGTGTTGTTGGAATGAGATTGCAGTAGGACATGAAGATCACATCTCGAAATAACTGCGATAGACGTTCGCTTTTGAATCAATACTGTCACTCGTTTGCTAGAATAGGTCACGAAGACGAGTTGGGCTCGCATAACATAATGGACACGGAATATTTGTATAATCGTTTGTCACATTGCCATTACTTTGCACACAAAGCTTTATGTCGTTCGGCCATGCTCCCATTCTCATTTGGCTCATTGAAGGGCAGCCGGACACGCCAGTCGTACCACGCTCTCATCAAACATCCGAAGTCGGCTTCGTGGTTTTTTGGAGAGCCGAATACACGGATAACGGAGATTGAATATTACTTGACGCACACTTGTCGATTGTCTCAGTAAGCTTGGGATGATACTAGTTCTTTCACATGGACGCGTACCTGAAAGACAGGGATCACAGCGGTCCGAGCTCTCAAGCTTGAACAACGCGATCTCGTTTCTCCAGGTTTGTTTTCGGCACCATCAACAACACCGCCCCGTACAACCACCATGTCGCTTTTCGGCAATCTTGGAGGCTCCCAGCCCGCCTCTTCTGGCACATCAGGCGGAGGGCTGTTTGGTGCAACAACAGGCGCATCAGGCGGTACTACACCAAGCTTGTTTGGCAATCTGGGCGGAAGTACTTCGAATGCGCAATCCAGTACGACACAAGCACCGAGCACTGGAGGCGGACTTTTCGGTGGCTTGGGCGGAGCAAAGCCGGCAGCAACTACGACACCCTCACTGTTCGCTGGCGCTGGGTCGACCTCACAGCCGCAAACGCAAGCGCAACCGAGCAGCTTCGGCGGACTCTTCAATAAACCGACATCGCAAGCGACAACGACCAACAACACGCAGCAAACGAGCGGCCTGGGCCAATCCTCCCTCTTCGGTGCTACCACCACACAGGAGCAGCCTCAACAGCAACAGCAGCAACAGGGCGCGTCGCTGTCGCAAGCAAACGCTGGTACCGGTCGCTCAGCCCACTTCGACCATCTGCTCGAGCGAGGGCGTAAGCGCAATGCTGGCGAAAATGGCGGCAACAACTTCGACGAGCTGCCGTCCCTACAGTTGGGACTGGGAGACATCGCACGGAAGGTGCGCAATCTGGGTGCTGGAGGTCCCTCAGCAGACCAGGTCCAGGATCGCTCCCAGGATCGCGCTGCGTATGTTGGACCTGATCATGATGTGTTGCTTTGTGCTGATTGCTTCTAGACACTACCTACTTTCCGCCTCTGGCGTCAAGATGGGCAGCACCCTCCGCGACCTCAACCAATTCTCTTCGCAAGGCGGTCTCGCTGCACCCAGTCAGGCACAGAACCTGTTCGACAACGACGTAGACGGCTACATCTCGAACCTGCACTCCCAATCCACCCTAGCACTCATTCAAGAAGGATTGGAACAATCTAAACGCGACTTCGACACATTCCTCGAGGACAACGTTCAGATCGAATGGGACAAACAGAGGCAGAGGATCTACGAACATTTCGGACTCGGCCGACAGAGTGAAGATATGGCCGCATCCCAAAGCGGCGCATTTGGCAGCACGGCCCGTGGAGCTTTTGGACGCGCAACAGGGCGCAAGGGTCGTTCTATGGGCCCTAACAGCGGTGCGTCTGTAAACGGGAGATCGACTTTTGGCGCGTCTGCTGCCGGACCGCCTGTCCTAGGCGCCTCTCAAAGCGTGCTTGGTGGGCGCGAACCTACCGATAAGTCTGTCATGGGTGGACAAGCTGCTTCTCAGGACCGACACGCACGTGACAAACAAGAAAAGTACATGGACGAGGTCAAGAAGCTCAACGAGTCCAGGCTACGTGAGAGCTCATTCTCGGTACTCCATGCATTTTCAGACGTGGAAAAGGCTGCGGGCACCGAATACTCAGACCACTTCACAAATGCGTATGGAGCGCTTATATCCATCACTGGCGAGAAAACCGAACTGGAGGCCTCCAACCCTGGTTCCAACCAGCCAAAAGAACGAAGCTTCGCCAAGGACTACTTGGACGACCAACCGAACTCTGCTGCCAGCGTACGCATGCGTAAATGCATACTCGATGGCTCTCGGAAGTTCTTGGAAAGCAAGTTCTTGGAGCAAGTCGAAGATGTGTTGCGGAGGAACCCTGCAGAGGCGCTCGTTGGTGGAGTTCCCTCTATGCTCAACAAAATCCGAGGCTTTGTACGAGCGAAGGCTGCGTTTAAGGAGCTCGGCGCAGACAGTGATCTATTCCAGAGGATAGGTGAAGCTGGCGATGAATTTCCTTGGATTATCATATTCTTTCTTCTCAGAGGTGGCCTCCTCACTGAGGCTGCTGAATATGTGCGAGAGAAGAGAAACTTCTTCCAGAACACCGACAGAAACTTCCAGGCGGCAATAACTCAGTACGCCACCGATCCAGAGCGAAGGCTGAACCCAGATACGCAACAAAAGGTCGCGCATACGCATGCGCAGAGAACTCGCTTGAAGACGCCAGAAGATCCCTACCGAATGGCCTGCTACAAGATCGTCGGCCGGTGTGACATGAGCCAACGCAATCTGGCGCCAATCAAAGAGAACATGGACGACTGGGTATGGCTGCAATTTAATCTGGCCCGTGAAGGCAATCGCGCTGAAGAGAATGCTGGCGAGATCTTCGGCTTGGAAGAACTGCGAACAACCATCAAGGATATCGGTCAGCGTCACTTCATGAATGACGAAGCCGAGTCCGCGGGTGGCTATGGAATCTACTTCTATCTCGCTACGCTTGCTGGTCTGTTCGAGCCAGCGATCAACTACCTCTACACTCACAACTACGTCTCTGCGGTTCACTTCGCCGTTGCTCTGGACTACTACGGTCTACTGCGTGTGTCGGACTGGACGACTGCAGGTGGAGAGATCATAACCTTCACTACACGACAGCAGCCACAGCTCAACTTTGGGCGCGTGATCGGCCACTACACCAGTGACTTCCGTGCCGCACGAGCTGATGCTGCAGCTGACTACTTGGTGTTGATTTGCATGAATGCGGATCTACCAGGCGAAGCAGGACGACAGCAGGCAGAGCTTTGCCACGAGGCGCTTCGTGAACTTGTCCTTGAGACGCGCGAGTTTTCCACGTTACTGGGTGATGTCAAGTCGAACGGCGAGACGACGCCTGGTCTCATTCAGGAACGTGTGCCGTTGCTCAAGCTGGACGGTGAGATGGGCCTGTTGAACACCATCACTAGTGAAGCCGCGAGGATGGCAGACGACAATGGACGCATCAACGATGCCATCTTACTATGCCACCTTGCTGGCGAGTATGACAGTGTCGTAACGATCTTGAACCGCGCACTTGCCGAGGCACTCTCTGTAGAGCTCGGCCAAGAGCCACTTCGTCTGGAGCCGTTGAAGCCACGGCTGACACCCGCAGAGTCACAGCAACAGCAGCAGCAACGGAGCGATCTGACTTCGTCGAGCTTGAGCATGCTCGGAACAGATGATCCTGTCGAACTTGCCCAAAAGGTTCTTGCACTGTACGATGCAAACAGTCTATGGTGGAGGAAGGTGTCACAGATGAACCGTGATACAGTTGGAATACTATTCCAGCTCAACAACGCAAAGAAGGTCATCGAGGCTGGCGACTACATGGCAGCACTCGGCGTAAGTAGTTCCATCTCTGTCTTGCACTATCAGTCACTAACAAGTCATCTAGCAAATCGAGAACCTTCGTATCCTCCCTCTATCTGCTGGAGGCAACGTCAGCGACATTCGCGCTACAGCCAACAGTTTCAACTCATACCCACCAGAGATTTCACGCAATATTGGCAACGTGCTCCTCTGGTGCATCGGCTGCTGCTCGCGACACCGTGAGCGTCTTCTGTCTGGACAGTTCGAGGACAGAATGCGCAAGGTGCTTGCAGATCAGCTGCTGCAGAAGGCGAAGGATCTCATGGTCTTTGCTGGGCTGATCAAGTACAAGTTGCCACCGAGAGTGTTTGAGACGCTGGCTAGGGAAGGTCAGGAAGTGGGGGCTTTCTAGAATTGGGGTAATGATGATAGATATTCGCATGTTGGAGTCTCTGGAATTGACATTGTAGTCTCAGGATGGGCTGGGAAATGCTTGGATTTGCGAGCAAAGGTCGATTGAACATTTGCGCAATTGCTGGACATGGTTGGTTTGACGTCGAGCGGTACCAACAAATGATTATATTTCCGGGCCATCCGTATCTCAGTGGTGATCAGAATGCTTTCGCCGCAAGAGGCCGCGTGGGGTGACGGCCAAGACGAAGATGGTACAACGACAGCACAGCAATCGTGGCACAGACGATGTCTCGCTATGCTGTCATTTGTTGACATGCAAGTCTTGCAGGTTAAGGCAATAATGAAGTCGTTCGATTCTAGGAACGTGCCGGCGGCCGTGGTTGGCGATGCTTCCAGGTTCGGGCTGAGGATCGGCGAGTGGTGTGACCCCACTTGGCGGACCGGGGAGCTCTTTTCTTTTGGAGCTCCCACGTCATATGGACGAACCCATGCTCGGAGCCCCGTCACCTTATCACCAGTTTGAATAATACGTACAACTGTCGCCCGTGATACAGATATATCATCGTAAATCCAGCTAATAGCTAGCTAGTCGCATCACTTCTGACACTCACATATCAACACTCAGGACTCGGCAAAGCTACCCCTCCAACCCGCCGTCGACCATTGAAACTTCCCAACACACAGGGACCCGCTTCTCTCGGCGTCTTAACTTTTCAACTAGACAGGTGAATCCACATTGACCTCATACTGACCCACGGCCAAATATCTTTTCGGACCTTCACATTCATCTGCGAATACCTCCAGCCTCCACTTTCACCTCCCCAACCTTAACCTACACCTTCCACTCCGCCCAATACCCTATCCAATAACACCTGATTTCACACTATGGCGCCCACAGAGATCCCACCGCCCCTCGAGGGTAAGAAGAGGCGCATCGGAGTCATGACGAGCGGAGGAGACGCACCTGGCATGAACGGAGCAGTACGCGCTGTAGTACGCATGGCCATTCACAACAATTGCGAGGCATTCGCGATATACGAGGGCTACGACGGTCTGGTCAAAGGCGGAGACATGATCAAAGAGATGCACTGGGAGGACGTCAGAGGTTTCCTATCCGAGGGCGGTACGCTCATTGGCACAGCACGATGCATGGAGTTCATGCAACGAGAAGGCCGCCGGACGGCTGCAAAGAACATGATCATCAAGGGTATCGATGCGCTGATCATCTGCGGTGGTGACGGTTCCCTCACAGGCGCGGACAAGTTCCGTGCTGAGTGGCCAGAGCTGCTGACCGAGCTGGTGCAAGAAAAGCAGCTCACACAGGAGCAGGTCGAGCCCTTCAAGCACCTGAACATTGTCGGATTGGTTGGTTCCATCGATAACGACCTTTCCATGACCGACGCTACCATCGGCTGCTACACCTCTCTCGGCCGTATCTGCGAAGCCATCGACTCGGTCGACACCACTGCCGTCAGTCACCAGCGTGCTTTCGTCATCGAAGTAATGGGTCGGCACTGTGGCTGGCTCGCACTCAGCGCTGGTGTTGCGACAGGCGCCGACTTTGTCTTCACACCTGAAAACCCACCCAGCGAAGGCTGGCCGGAACAGATGTGCAAGCAGATCAAGAAGCAGAGAGAGATGGGCAAGCGAAAGACTATTGTCGTTGTTGCCGAGGGAGCCATCGACCGCAACCTTAACAAGGTTACTTCACAGCAGGTCAAGGACATTCTTGCAAACGAAGCGGGGCTTGACACACGAGTGACTACGCTCGGACACGTCCAGCGTGGAGGTACACCATGCGCCTACGACCGTATGCTTGCGACACTCCAGGGTGCTGAGGCTGTCAAGGCAGTGTTGGAAGCTACCCCGGAAACCCCCAGCCCGGTTATCTGCATGCAAGAGAACAAGATCGTTCGACGACCACTCCTTGAAGCTGTCGCTCAGACCAAGGAGGTTGCTGTAGCTATCGAAAGGAAGGACTTCCACAGGGCCATGCAGCTCCGCGATACTGAATTCGAGCAACAGTACCAAGCCTACCAAATCACAACAGCGCAAGATCAGCCAGATCTTCTACTACCAGAGAACAAGCGCATGCGCGTCGGTATCATCCACGTAGGTGCCCCAGCCGGAGGCATGAACGCAGCCACACGAGCTGCTGTTGCGCACTGCCTTGCTCGCGGCCACACGCCAGTTGCGCTCCACAACGGTTTCCCTGGCATAATCCGCCACCACTCTGATGAGCCCGTGGGTGCGGTGCGAGACATCAAGTGGATCGATGCTGAGACCTGGGCATCCAAGGGTGGATCTGAGATTGGAACGAACCGTGGGCTCCCTAGTGAAGATCTCGAGACAGTTGCGTTCGTCTTCAAGAAGTTCAACATCCAGTCTCTGTTCGTTGTCGGCGGTTTCGAAGCATTCACAGCTGTTTCGGAACTGAGGAAAGCACGGGAGTACTACAAGTCGTTCAAGATTCCCATGGTCATCATCCCTGCCACCATCTCGAACAACGTCCCAGGAACAGAATACTCCATTGGCTCGGATACTTGCTTGAACGCGCTTATCCAATACTCCGATGCCTGCCGCCAATCAGCGTCAGCGTCGCGTCGCCGCGTCTTCGTCATTGAGACCCAAGGTGGTGAGTCGGGCTACATCGCAACAGTTGCCGGTCTCAGTATCGGAGCATTGGCCGTATACACACCCGAAGACGGCATCAACCTTAAGATGCTCGACCGCGACATCGACCACCTCCGCGAGGTCTTTGCCAAGGACAAGGGTATCAGCAGGTCTGGTAAGGTGATTTTGGTCAACGAGAAGGCGTCGAAGACCTACTCCGTGCAAATGATCGCTCAAATGATTGCGGAAGCCGGCAAGGGCAAGTTTGAATCTCGTCACGGTGTGCCTGGTCACTTCCAGCAAGGTACCATACCATCGCCCATGGACCGTGTCAGGGCCGTCAGATTCGCTATCAAGGCTATGCAACATCTTGAGAGCTTTGCTGGTCTAGACGCAGATGAGATCGAGGACGACTCCATGTCAATTAGCGTTATCGGAATCAAGGGCAGTAAGCTACTGTTCTCTCCGATGGAGACTGTGGAGAAGAGGGAGACTGAGTGGCACCGTCGCCGCCCCAAGCATGAGTTCTGGATGGCTCTCAAGGAGACGGTCGACACGCTGTCCGGTAGGCCTCAGGCGCCAGCCAAGCCTACTGAGATCGACACACTGGCTGGACGGCCAGCAAAATAAACGCACACAAGGCTTTAGAGCTTATGAAGGTGTACAGGCGTACATTTGAGTTTGAGAAACTTGCTACAGAGGGCCTTTGGCTACCATGATCACGGCGTACATGTAGATAGATGCTTCCTTATGATAACGACCACGAAATGATCTGACTAATAATCATCTTATCTCAATCCTCTTGAAATTTGTCCAAGCTTTCGTCGTTCCAGCTTAGGAATTTGCCGTTAAAGCTCTTGACCTCGTCACCTCCAACAGCCAGTCTCGCAATGACATAACCCGGTTGTTCTGGCTTCAAAAGCCCTCCGTCGCTCTTCAGTCCACTGAACTTCTCTCTATCCTTTCCGCTCATTCGCTCGTGATGCACTTCTCGGATCTCACGTTGCATCTCCGTGTCTACGACGCCTGGTCTGATAGAGATTGTTGTAACAGAAGGTTCTTCGACTGAGAGGGTAAGGGCTAGGTGGTTTAGTACCGCTTTTCCGGCACCATAGCAGCCCCAGCCTTGGTAAGCGGAGGTTGCGGCGCCGCTGGAGGTTAGGAGGATACGGCCCTGGGTCTTGCGCAGAGAAGGGAGAGCAGCTTGGATCTTGAGTAGTTTAGAGTGGTTAGCTGGGCTTTTGAATGAACTAGAGGAGATGAAGCATTTTCGAAGCAGCCATATATGCTCCTATCCTTGAATTTGGTGATGATTGACTGACTGAATAAATGAATGAAACCAAGACGGAACAGGTACGTACCAAACCAACAGCACTGAAAACATTGACATCGAATCCCTTTCTCCATTCCTCAGCACTAGTATCAGCCACCTTCTTCACTGGATCTAAAGACCCATGGTTGATGATCAACGAGTCGAGACGTCCCCATTTCTCGTTTGCCAAAGCTACAGCTTTTTCAGGCAACGAAGCGTCGGACATGTCTCCAGCGAGCACGGCGACTTTTTCAGAACCATATTCAGATTGCAGGGCTTCGAGAGCTGACTGGGTTCGTGATACGAGCACCAGCTTGTGGTTGCGGGAGAGCAGATGGTGGGCGATTGCCTGACCGATTCCTATTTGGACGGGTTAGTAAGAGATGAATCTTACTATCACAATATCTTCTTTCCACTTTGTACAGAAAAGTAGTTGCAACGTGGTAGCTTTTGCACTCCTTCAGTACTTGAAGACGAGAAGGAATATAGAATTGCAATGCTTTTGGCTGGGCTGGAAAGAGATGCTATGAGCTTGTTAGATGCACGCACGTACCTCTCGATGCACCCGTGAGTATAACAACCATTTCTTGTGATTGGCTCATTTTGACTGTTGATTGGATGTTTAGAGCTGTGAGCTGGGCATTGGGAAAAGTTAAGCTCATGTTGGAGGGGCATACGTCATATTAGTCATCTTATCATTCGAGCAGTCTACGGGTGGAGGGCAACTCGAAAAGCATGAGCTTCCGCAGTCATCATACGTTAACTTACTAGGATCTTAAGCAAAGTGAATTCAAGCAGTTCAGAGCTTGAGGAGTTGGTTTAGTGGTTTGATCTAGGGCATATCTGGATTCGTTCACGACACCGCAAGAGGACACCCGATTGTAGCTTTTGAATTTATAGAAACTACAGGAACAAGTCCTTTCGAGGTACTTTACACATTCTAAACTCTCTTTACAACCTAATGTTTACATGCTCGCCTTTCCTCTACTCTCAAAAGGCAATATCAGCACTAACAGCCCCGCAGCGATGAACAATGCCCCACTCACGTAAACGGGCACGCTAGTCTCCAAGTCCGCAAACATAGCAACAATGGGCGCCATGATACCAAAAACTCTGTTCGCGCTCGCTGTGATGGCATTTCCTGTACCGCGATCCTTTGTTGGGAAGATCTCAGGGGTGTATGCGTACAAGACTGCGTACATGATATTGCTCATGAAGTTGTAGGCACAGTTCCATCCAAGGAGGCTGTTAGAATTGAGTGCCCTTGTGGAGCATAGCAGGAATACACCAGTAAGCACTGTGGACAAGGACAGTGTGCCTTTGCGGCCTATATAAGGCGCCTCAACGAGCAGACCACCAAGGATACAGCCTGGTACGCCCAGGACAGCGATGATGAGACTGTTGCGATAGGTTATATAGGTGGAGCCATCGCCAAAGTCTACGCCACGTGTGGCTTGGATATAGGGCAGGTATGCGTTGTATAGTGGGTAACCGAGTCCGATAAATGCCCAGACCAAGGTGATTGTGCTAGTTGAAAAAGCTAGTTTCTTCGTGGCGAAAAGAGCCTTGACGTGCGAGCTGTCCAACTTCTGAAGGTTGCGCTTGACCACTGCGGTGGCAGTGCTGGTTTGCTGAGCGGTACCAGGTAGCGCGTAGTTGTTGCAAGTCGTGAGTTCCTCGAGAGTCAGAGACGAAGCTTTGCCGTTGCGGCGGGCAACCTCATGAACAATACGGACGGCTTCTGAATCGTTTCCTTTGCCCATGAGGAACTTAGGCGATTCGAAGATTGTAAAGAAGACGAAGCGTCCAATGAACATCATAAGAGCAACACCTCCCATTACCTTGAAGCTGAATTAGCGATTACCTCAAGACCATGTGGCATAATACTGACAATCATAAAGTATCGCCATCCCATATTCTCTCCTCTCGCGCAGTTTGTATCCGTCTGTTGACATGTAAGATTTCCAAGCAACGGCCATGCTACAAGAGTAGCAAAGACTTGTGCGAGCGCCCAGTTTATCGACAGGATTGTCAACAAATACTGGTGTGATCCAGGGAGAAACCTGAATTCGGGTGTAGAAAGTCAGTGTATGTCTCACATGCACTTTGTGTATGGCATTACTGACTCGAGAAAGATGGCAGAGTCTACAGGCAGGTTTCCACCCACGCCAACAGACCATAAAGCAGCAAAAGTGCCAATGGCAGCAAAGTTTGGACTACTCGCCGCTATCATACCGAATACAGCCGTGATACCGATGGTGAGATTGAAGGCCCATCTCCTGCCGAATATGTCACAACCGAAACCCCAGAACACTGCGCCGAAGAGAAGTCCAATGTTTTGAGACAGAGACAGAAGCGGTGGTCTGGTAGGGCTGAACTCGTTGCTCACAGGTGTGAAGATCAACGATGTTACGATGGGCCAGAGATTGTCCATGGCCCATCCGAAGCCGATGACGATGAAGAGCTGTAGCTTGTTAGACGGTCGGAAGATGGTAAGTCGAAACAACTTGTGAGCATTCACTGGGCTTTTCAATGTACGGCGTGTTGATGCAACACAAGTGGGCGCCGCCGGGATTAACACTTACCTGCCACTGATACCTTCCCATGCCTATGTCCTGGATTGCTTTGTTCAGCATCTTCGCCTTGGCTTCGTACACCGGATCCAGCGACCCATCTTCGAGGACAGATACGGGCGCCTCTCCATCTCTTGCAACAGTTTGTGCCGAAGGCTCCTTGTTACTGTAAGTTTCATCAATCTTCCTGGATGAGTCGGCCATGGTTTTCATCTGTTCTCTAAACCGACTGCGAGCACAACAAGTGAGGGAGAGGGGAGGCCGAAGTGGATCAAACTAAATACAGACGACTAGGATCATACAAGCGAATTGGTGGCGAGCGCAGTGAGCATTAGCGACGCTAGGAAACCCAGTGAATGGGAGATCTTCAACGGGAATGGTGTATGATTGAACCAGTGGTTTGCAGACTGCATGTTTAGTGTGACGACTCACAGTGTTCCTTGTCGCGCAATCGGCCTTCCCGTTTGCGCAATACCATGCATGGGGGCAAGTATCACCACCACGCGCGGGGTACTTTGTGGGGGGACGTCATGGCTGTACTATATGCCTGTTACCAGATTCCCGCAGGCGATTAGAGAACATGGATCTTAGTCTGGATCTACACAAGGTGTGAGTGTGTTATGCTGTGTGAGAAGCTACACCTAGCGGGTCAAGATCTGCATGTAGTGCATGGAGGGTGGTGTGGGAAGGGGAAACGTAGATTCGGCGACGGAGTTCCTCCGCGCTAGTATGACGCGCCGGCACGTCCAAGGTGACAACACGGGATCCACGTCAACCGAGAGGAAGAAGCTTGGAGTTCGGTAGTCATTATTTATTTATACCAAGAATCTATGACCTTGTGTTTGGTGCACATAATCTTGATGTAAGCACCAGCAATGCATAATGCAGAGCAGCGCAGTAGCAAGACGGCGGAACGTGGTCTACTTCCACAGCTTGCTCAAACTGGTCGCCTTATCGTCGTGCTTGTTCAGCACCTTTGCGGTGGCCAGGTCAAAGTCCTCCTGCGTTACGTGCACTCTCCTCTCCCTCAGTGCATACATGCCGGCCTCGGTGCACACACCCTTCAACTCGGCTCCTGAACATCCGTTCATCTTCTCAGCAACCTTTGTCAGGTTGATGCCACGCGTCAGGTTCATGCTTCTAGAGTGAATGCGTAGAATGTCGGCACGGGCTTCGACGGTTGGCGGCGGGAACTCGATCTTTCGGTCGATACGTCCGGGTCGTAGAAGGGCAGGGTCTAGAATGTCCAATCGGTTGGTTGCCATGATAATCTTGATATTCTTGGTGGGCTCGAAACCGTCGAGCTGATTCAGCAGCTCCAACATGGTTCGCTGCACCTCGGAGTCACCACCTGAGCTTCCTTCGACTCGACTTGATCCAATGCTGTCGATCTCGTCCATGAAGATGATGCTGGGTGCGTGTTCTCGTGCCATGACGAAGAGCTCGCGGACCATGCGACTGCCTTCACCAATGTACTTTTGCACCAGCTCGCTACCAGACACGCGGATGAACTTGCAGTCAGCGTGGTGGGCGACGGCACGCGCAAGCAGTGTCTTTCCTGTACCAGGTGGGCCGTATAGCAGCACACCCTTGGGCTGAGCAATACCGAGCGACTCGAAGAGTTCGGGATGTTGCAGACCCAGCTCGATGACTTCCTTGATTTCCTTGATCTGCTGGTCCAAGCCACCAATCATGTCGTATGTGCTGTCGGGCACCTTCTCGACCATCATGAGGGAGACGAGGGGATCGACGGACGAGGGAAGCAGCTTCTCGAGCTTGTACGAGTCGCTGAGCAGGGTGACGCGCTTGCCGGCGGTGAGTTTGCTGATATCGACGCTGTCGGCGACATCGACGACTGGCTCGGTTAGTTGTGGCTCTGGTTGTGGCTCTGAGCAGGCAGCGACATACCGTATTTGCCTTCGGGATGGACCTTTACAAGCACCTTCTTGGTGCCCATGACCTTGACTACCTCGCCGACATAGGACCCCGGCTGCTGCAGGAGGCCGAGCTCTTCTCGCAGTAACCGCACTCTTGAGTTGTAGTCGTTGCGCTGGGCTTCGAGTCGTCGTAGCTTGGCCTGTCCCTGTATGATCTCGAGCTTCATCGTCTCGATCTTGTTGTGGAAGAAGGTGTCGAGCGCCATGGCTGTGGCGGGCGCCGGCGGCGGTGTTTGGGCTGATGTGGTTGACTGGAGCAGAATTTGGATCTGCCGGCTTTGTCTAGTGAAGGGCGATAGAGAGGGTCGAGGCAAGGTCGTGGGGGAGATAGTGATGGCGTAGGCGTGGGTCGGCTTTGGCTTGCATGTTGACGCTGTGACGGCCGCCGCTGGAAGCTTCTCGGATCAAGGTTAGACCGATGCACCGGACGGAGGAGCCACACGCGCTCGCAAGTCGCGTCACCACCTCAGTCTGGCACTTCTTTCACGCACCCATCACTTCTACAAATCCGTTAAACAATGTAATTCGTTCTACCGTAACCTCATACGTGAGGAATTTGTTCGATTATCAACACGCGGCACTCTTCCGCTTTCTGCGAAGAATAAATACTCGCTGAATCTAAAACTTCCACCGTCCTAGACCCTCAAGACGCTCTCTTGGCGCGCACTGCCGTCCTCTGTCGGGGCGCTGCTACGACCTTGTTCCGTTGCTCAAATAACATCGAAAACACCTCGCGGTTCATGGCATAGTTGACCTGCGTACTCTCGTCTTCGGCGACGTTGTCATGAATCTTGAGATGGTTCACGTCTTTCCAAAGGTCCTCTATAACTGCAGCATTAATCTGAAGAGCCTGGTTGCGCGCTATGTTGCGTGTAATAATGCGCTCCGTCTTGACCGGCAAATCTCGTGGCGACGTCTCAGAATCGTCAACAAGCGTCTCGTCGCCGCTATCTTCGCCCTCGCCATTAGCTTCGTTGTTCAGAGCCTTGAGGTCCGCAAGAGTTAATGGCACAGTGCCATCATCTGCCAATGTCAGTTGGTATAAGGGAAACGCGGGCAGCTAAGCACTCACTTGACGGACGTCGGCCCTTCAATAATTTCGCGATTTTGAGGCCTTCGCAATTATGGACGTGCTCCCTTAAATACTCATCGATTCGCTGTATCGCTTCAGCATTGACCACGGCTTCTTTCCCTATGGTACGTATCACTCCGACATGGGCGACTTGGATCCGCAACACAAGCATCGTCTTTACTTGAACCAACTCATCCATAATGTCACCCAGTTTCTTCTCGTCTGCCGAGCCAGACGTCAGCTGGCGTGCAATCTGATTCATCTTACTTGTCATCTTCGGATCCAGGTTCTCAAGCAATTCGGCCAGCCTGACTTGAACGCCTTGCAGTCGGACTAGTTCTGTAGCCACAGTAGGGATTTGCAAATCTTCCTCATCATCTATAATACCGATGATCGCTTTGATGCTTTCGAGTTCGCTACGGTGTCGGGTCAAGACATCAGCCAGAGCTTTTTGACGACTATGCGCCTTGCGGAGGCGATCGACAATTCGAAAGGCTTGTTCCACGAGTTGAGTGGTAGCTTGAATCGCGGCGAGAACAGCGAATACTTCAGCCTGGTTCTGCACTTTAGCTTCATCACTCATCAGAGAGAAGACTGTTTACCATGGTGTTCAGCGTGTGGATTATGGATTAGTTGATCAAGGCAGTAAGACCAGAGATTGCGCTGACAGCTCAATGGGTGTGAGATTACATTTATGTCCAGCTGAGCTCGCCGGAAACGTCTTTGGGGCGCAGTGTTGATTATGAGTCGACCGTAATTGCGGTTGGTCTGGTTCGCAGCATGCATGCAAGATCGTAGCCATTGATTCGCCATCGCGAAGCGATCCTGCAGCCATGATGCACCCCAAGAGAAACTCGAGTTCATGCTGCTGTTGGCATCCAATAGTAGTCAACATCTTTCTGAGGGTTGCAGTCCTGCGCTGACAATACTTATGCTTGATACCACAGCCTATTAGGGTCTGAAGCGGCAAGAAGGTATGCGCCGCGCGCAGATCAAACTGCCGCGGCTTTTGTTCGCCCTTGTCCGTTCAGCTAAGTGTTGACTGAGCCAGCACCAAATAGAAGATCGAACCGACTATCCTTGACAACGTAGAAGCGACATATGGCGAATTCTTCTTTTCCCTCTTGCGAGTAGCGAGCGAGATCGACATAATCATTGGTGGGCGGAAGGTGAATTCGATCCGAAGTAGCCTCCATCGTAAACGAAGAACCGCTGTACACTACAAGACTTAGACGGCGCACAATCTTGTGTGCAATGAAATTGTTCAAAACGGTGGGTCGGAATATGGCGCGAACCACATGACGGGCGTCACTCGTGCTCGAGTTGAGAGTTAGATTTTGGCCTTGGAGGACACGTTTATCCGATGTCTTTTTCTGGTAATTGTTAGGAACCACTCTGTACCAATCCGCACTGACTGCTGCTTACTGGCAATTGTACAGTAAATTTCCCGGACACTTTCGACGAAGATGGAGTCTTGAGTACTTTGCTCTTGTTCGGCATCTTCGCCGCGCATCTACTCGGTAGTGCTGATTCGTTCCCAGACGAGACTATCTCTGTACCCCAGCCGCACTTGCAGTCTGGAGACACAACTAGAGTCTTGCTTGTATTCGTTAGGAGCGTGCTCTGTCGGTCGGAGTGGGGGTTTGACTTACAAGTTAAGATTATAGACCTTATCTGCCACAGGCCCGTTGATTTGAACAGCATTGCCGCTGGAGATGTTTCGGCTAACGGAGGTCGCTACTACCATAGCTTGTATATCCTGAGAAGTACAGCTAGGAGAAGATATCAACGACATGATACGATGGTGTGCTAACAACGCCCTCTGAACAACATCGGCTTGGACGAGGTTATTCACTGTCCTCGTAGGCTCGGCTCTTACGGTTGAGGGAGGCTGTGAAGATGTGATTGGAACAAGCCTCTTGTCAGCCGGGCGGGGTACGGAAACGCCGTGACCGGTGTGCTGAGGGTTGCATATGACCATCCAAGGTTTGATGGATGGTGTTCCACAGCCCTGTATTGACCTGCAGTTCCGGTCAACTTGGAACGGCAAAGCGCAGATCCAAGCGAACGATTGTCTTGAATATCGATGGATCGATAAGCGCTCCTTGGCTCTTGTGCACGTCTTCGGTCTGCGCCTCATCGTTTTCTGCCTTGTTGCCAGGCTCGTACTACACGCAATGCGCTTTGCAGGATCGTCAATCTCTTACCTCCTCACGCCACAGCCATTATGAGCTACATTGCTCGAATGCGCCTGGGCTAGCGCTGCTCTCCGCAGCCATCAGAACCTCGTTCATGCGACGCAAGTAAGCCCCACTCACATGCGGTCCGGTCGCTTCGACTGCGCATCATGTACCACTTATACGGCACACATCAGCTGGTCTCGAAGCTGGTGAAAGAGAGTCCTGAGAAAGCCGTTGATATCCTCACTAGATGTTGCGCAGACAGTAAGGTCCTCGAAGAGATCAACGCATATCTCTTGCAGCCAAAACCAACGCAGCGCGAGGTTCCTGCTCTCCTACCAGGCGGACTCGACATAACATTTGGTTCACCTGCTTCGCCGTCTGTAGATAGCTCGCGTCATGCTGGATCCCCTCTGCCTCGTCAAAGGCTGGCTCGCCGCCCTTCCTCAAATTCAACAACATATCCCCTCAGTCCACCTAGGTCAGCGTCATCAGTAACCTCCCATTCCACCAGAAATGAGATCTCCATGGGGGAGTATATACTACTTCTTCTCTTCGGGGGAACTGAGGTTGAGGAGCACCTGGTCCGTATGAGACTTGCGCAGACGAGATACAGTGTGATACGTGGAGACGTCGTCCAAAAACGCGGTCTTGATACCATGTGCACATTAGTTCAACCAGACTTTAACGAAGTATATGTGCCTAGTCGCACAGCCGCAGGATTCGACCTAGTACCAACCTCTTGCTCAATAGAGCTGACCTGGCGCCGACCACGGTCCGACTCTACGCACAACACCATATTCTATGTAGTGCCACAAGAAGCACTTGACACGGACCTTCTTCTTGGTTGCGAGGACTCTGGTGAAGGCATTCCAGGTGCGTATATACATATTCACTATGGTCAAGGAAGATCCTTTGGCTGATTAGATGCGCCCTTCGACCAGACTATCAGCCTACCATTGTTCCTGAATCGCAAGCTCGACAGAACCCACTTCACCAAGAATACAGGCAGGACATGCGTCCTCCAGCACCAACACCACCTTCCGTATCGTTTCACCGTTCAGCAATGACTCACGGCGGATCCGCTCGCGCAAGCCCCGTTCATCCTCAAAACGAGCAATACCATCCACATCATTTGGTAGAGCCCTTGATCTCTCGACAGCGGACATATGGAACAGCAGTACAAAGTCAACAGCCTTCACCAGCCCCTACGGTTCTGGGCTCGCACATTGAGCACCCACAGCCTCTTCGACCAAACATCGCTGCAGCAAGCCCTGTCCAAGACGCCGATCCCAACAAAAACGCTGGTAGAATCAGATTGAGTATCTCATGGGACGTGACCACTTTCAACGTATGGCTGGATCTGAACGCACATTGCGATGCTTTCTATAAAGCCTTCCAACAACAGGCCGCAAAGCAGCGCAAGAGCATACTCGACCGAGCTACCATCACAATACAACTGAAGAATGATAAGAACATGCCAGACGAGGAAGCCTGCCCCCTCTCACTTGCCGAAGATGACTTGGAAGCAGATTGGGAGATGATCACTGAATGGTTGGAGGCAAATAGGAGAGACAAATCGCCTCATATCTATGGCGTGGTAGAGATGGAAGAAGGGTGAAGGTCTACCCTTCCCTCTGGACCTTCGGTTCAGAATTTCATGCGATAACCCCTCCACTGATTGTTGCTTGAGGTCGCGAGCGCTCTTCAAGAGGCTATCGTGACTCCCGTCACCACTGGAATATTGTACGAAGACGTATACCCTCCGCATACGACATGTCCAGGAGGATCAAGGTCAGTGTCAGGTTTTGAATCGGGTCAGAGATACACGAGGTCTAATGAGCAACAGCTAGAGACAAGGAACCCAGCGGCACGAACAGAAGGCTGGCGCTCGAGCTGAGCAAGACGGAATAAGTTTTAACCATATATGAATCTTTCGGACCAGTGTAAAGATCCATCTACATCTTTAGACACATTAACTACCACAAGTAACTCCTGGAACAGTCAACTCACCCCTCTCTCGCGGTGCACAAAATCGACCAGACTCCTACCTTACTAGAACTAGCGACCTTCAGGCAAAATGACTGAAACTCTGCCCTTTTACTCCTACGTTCCATAATGATGAGGAAAGGATAACAACATATTAAGTAGAAACAATATAATCTATGATCTTCTACGATTTTCTCATTTCAAGTGTGGAGGGATTTGCAGTAAAAGAAAGATGTAAGGCTTAGAAAGCAGCGACTTCAGGATTCTCGAGCATCAAGTATATCGCAGGCCTCTTCACTGTTGATTGGCATTGCCATGCTCGATCTTTGCTCAAAGGGCGTGCCACTAGTGTTGTTCTGTGAATGACATCATGAGCTACGCTCTTTTGGTAACGATCGTCATCCCGTCATTCGCTTTATCATGACTAACAGTCTGCTTAATTGCCGTGCCGCTTGTTCCTGTGAGGCACTCGTGCAATATCAAGCATTGGCCCTGCCCTAACTCTATCATCCAAACTTATGTTTGTGAGAAACGACAAAGACTAAATCATTAAACCCAGTCGGTCATTCAATAATGACAAGCAACGGGAGTGGCGACGACATATCTCTTCGCGAGCCACAGCAGTTGAATACAGGCGAGCAAGAACTGAATACCGGCGATAATGCTGAGCAGAACGTGAGACAGAGAAGTCTGGACAGGAACAGAGTGTTCGCTCTTGTAGGTTCTGCGTTATCGCAGCTACCGATATGGGGTATGATACCTGGAATATTTGGTTTCAGGTAAAAGTTATCTCACATGTATAGGCTTCGCCATGAGCTATGGCGTTCTTCAAGAATATTACTTCGATAATTGGACACTGGAAGGTGATCGCAAACTTACCGGTATCATCGGCACGACATCCAACGGCGTCATGTACCTGTCCATGCCTTTATTGTTTGCTTTGTTCACCAAACGCTGGGCCCGTTATCGCCAGAGCGCAGCTATCTTGGGTGCTCTACTCGCATGCACCGCCTTTATCTTATCGTCATTTAGTAGACATGTTTGGCATCTCGTCGCGACACAGGGAGTACTAGCAGCATTGGGTTGCGCACTCGTCTATAGCCCGACTACACTATCCCTCGGCGAATGGTTGGTCAAATCTTTGTACGAACTGCTTGCGAAGCATACACTGACTTCGTACACCAATATCTAGGTTTAACACTCAGAATCGAATTTGCAATCGAGCTGTAGCCTACGGCATCTGTCTTTCCACGAAAAACATTGTAGGATCAGTTTGTCCGTTTATCTTCCGAGGACTCCTCGATCGCTACGGTTTTCGAACTACCTTGATTGTATGGGCCGCTATCACATTCGGAACTGCCGTTCTTTCCGTTTCAATGATAAAGCCACCGCGTTCGAGCCTCGACACAAGCACTACTCGTGGGCGCAAAATTCCCTGGCACTTCCTCAAACATCAGACTTTCTGGGTCTATAGTATCGCAACTCTGCTGCAGAGCGCTGGTTACGGTATTCCGCAAACTTACATCAGCGAGTATGCACGCAACGTCTCCCACCTGTCCCACACCTTCTCAGCACTCCTCATCACTCTGATCAATATACCCGGCATCTGCTCCTCCACCTTCTTTGGCTTTTTGAGCGACAACAAATACTTCCACCTCTCTGCCCCGACTGTTACCGTAATGTCTGCAGTCAGCTCTGCTCTGTCTGCATTTCTGTTCTGGGGATTAGCCGCGCAAGGGGGCATACCGTTACTAGTGTTGTTTGCCATCACCTTTGGCTTCTTCGCTAGTGGTTACAGCGCAACCTGGGGAGGAGTCATAAACGACATAGAGAACGACGCAGCGCGAAGGAACGAAGCCGTGGATAGTGGGGTGCTGTACGGTTTACTCAATGGTGCCAGGGGTATCGGATACGTAGCGGGTGGGCTTGTCAGTGTGCCTCTCATCCAGGCTGGAAGTACGACGTCGGTAGGACGCTTGGGATATGGGACGACTTACGGCCCCCTTATCATATTCACCGGTCTTTCATTGTCTTTTGGTGGTCTAGGACTGGCCTTTCGGCGAAAGTAAAAGCAACCACCACATTTGCAAGAAAGGTATCGCTGGGGATAAATAGCTTCAGAAAGGCGATCAGAGAAGACGGGTAACGCAGATAACATAGTTGATTTAGTAGAGGAGCTCGTTGTGCAGCGTATCGGCTGCTCTAAATACTTCCTGCTATGAGGGCAAACGTCTTATCAGCCATGAGCTATCGTACAAGAAGGCCTACAAACTTGTCGGAGCTGTGCCCGAGGGGATAGCGCCAGAAGGCATAGCTCCGCTCGGCATAGTTCCGTTACCCCCCGCACCGCCTTCACCACCCATATCCATAGCATTCTCATTCGCAACTCCTCCACCCGCTTGATAGTCCGCAGCAACAGCATAGTACTCATCGTCAGTATAATCAGCTGTAGAGTTGATGCCGATCTGTATCCATGCCATCAAGCCATCTTCCACGTCATCCCCAAGATACACGTACTCCGGGAAGGGGTCGAAGTCATTATCTGTCTGGACGATAGACCACATATCCTCATCGTTGGTAGTATATGCCTGGGTGTTGGAAACATAAGGCTCCGTAGCTTCGACAGCGGATTTGAGGTCTTCAGGCCAGAAGAGCTGACCAATATGAGTTACGGCACCATCGGAGCCGGTGGTACCATTGGAGCGAACGGTCACATTAGTCTTGACGAGGAGGTGCGTGTGTGTTGCACGACCCTCGTAGTGACCTGGGAACAGAGTCTCAAAGGCTACAACACCATCCGCATCAGTCTCTTGAACTCCGCGCAGGAAAGTAGTATTAAGACCGCCTTGGCCGGACTCGACACCGCTGTAGTAGCCGGTAGAGTTGCAGTTCCATACGTCGACGTAAAGCTGCGGCACAGGCTCACAGGTGCTTACGTCGACATATTGGACTTCAAGATAGAGATCGATGCCCTTTTGGTTCTCGACAACGTTCTTGCGGATCATCTCGCCAGTGACATAATAGGGGCCGTCGGTGACTTCAGGAGAGAGGATGCAGGAGGTGTTTGCAGCGAAAATGTCACTGGCGAGAGTGTTGGGTGTGTAACTCATCACACCCGTCATATTGTGATTGACGTTCTCGAACTCCTGGAGGAGGGCCAGGTCGCGACGGTACTTTTTGGACTCTGTGGGTCAATGTCAGCAACGTCCATGGGTAAATGAGGGTGCTATTGACGAAGGACGTACTCGCAGTAATACCACGCTTTTCGCGAAGAGCATCCAAGGTGTTTGCACGACGTGCCTCCGCACGACGCATCAAGCTGCGGTGCTTGAGAGTGTCTTGACATTCGGCCAAGGAGCGTTTTGCTGCTGCTGCACGCAGACCACGAACGTCAATCTCACGCTTGATCTTGACGTGATCATGCTTCTCGCCAGGATGAGCAGCTACAGTGCTGATAAAGGATGTGGCTGCAGCAGCACCGGCGAGGATGGAGGCGATGTTAACCATGTTGGAATGTCAGTTCCAGAAAAAGATCAGGTAAATAGTGTAAAGCGATGAATTTGAAGGCAAAGAATCTTGTGCAGCCGATATAAGACGTCAAATGGTGATGATAGAAAGCAATATGTCGATTTGAACCTCACTGCCTTTATACATTCCTTTCTTCTGTCCTGCTGTCCTTTCCTTTTGGAGATACTTACCATAAACGCCTCGTTACGAGTAGGAAAGCTTCGTCACGATACATGACGCGGCGTTCAAAGGCCCTAAGCCTCGCCATAGCCCAGAAAAGCTTTTCGAGGTTTCCCAACGTGGACGTGTTGAAGGGCTTAACCCACATGGTGTAGCTTCGCCACCAGGTTGACAGGCCTGGAACGCAGCATTGTAGACTCAATCGTACTAGTGTCATGCGTCATGTTGTACAATGCGATTTTGTCTATGTGAAGTTGGCCTGGCTGCATACGTACGCTTAGGAGCGTTGAAACGAGCGGGCGGACAATTTGGCGCAAGGACCGCGCCCAGGCGGGAAGCGCCGAAGTTAGCGTCGGAAGAGACTCGGACTAGGTGTAATCAAAACTGTTTTATTGGCCGCTGCTAGTGTGGTCATGAAGATGTGCGTATACCAGTCGTCGCAAGCTTCGTCAAAAGTTCTTGTTGGTGCTTAGGTTTCGAGTCATGCACCAAACAACACGATTAATCCTTTGCGCGTCCATGATTTTATATTGACCACGCCTCAGCTCATATTACAGTGCTACTATCATCTGCTTCCCCAGGCCTTTTGCATCAAAGCCTCTACTGTGATCGGATGTACCTCCGGGAAGACATCGTTCCTCAGTCCCTCTCCTGTGATATCCATAATGCCTTTGACGGCCATGACACCAAACTCAGCCATCATGCTTCGAGTAGCATCTTCGGGAAGTCCATAAGAGCCCTCAGGTTGCTCGAACAGTGTCGCTTGACCCTGCTCTAGCTTATCGATGGGATCATAGGTGACTTCCCACTTTTCGCCTATGATTCCAGTTGTCAGCTTTGCTCTAAATATCCATGATATGGTTGCCAAAGATGACTTACCAGTTACTCTCTCCGCAGTTTCCACGACTTTGTTCCACGTCAACTTGTCGCTAGCAAAAGCGCTGAACTCAGGCCATCTCTTCTCCTCGTCCAATAAAGCAGCAATATACTTCGCAACATCTGTGGAATGCAAGAACGTGACTGACGCCTTGCCGTCGCCTGGGAGTGCCGCTTTCCGGTTGTCGAAATCAAGGGCATATTTAAAAGGCTTCATATTACTCTTGCAATGCGGCATGCCAAAGTAATCTGAAAACCAGCCGAACATGACACGTGTGAAGTCGAGATGAGAGCTGCGGAGTAGATCGGCAGCATCCAACCACCATTTCGCTGCTGGGTGAAATTCGAGGACTCCTGGGTGTGAATAGTTGACCCCGTACTCGCTGGGCATAAAGCGCTTTACTGAGCCAGAATCGATTGCTGCTTGGATGAGATTCATCTGAGCTTTCGCGCTTTCTTCAGTGAAAAGCGCCAACGCAGATATAACAACGTCGACATTGTGTTTCTTGAGAGACTCTTTGACAGACGCTACATCTTCGTAGTCTGCTTCGATTACTCGTACGGACTCAAGTCCTGGTATCTTGTTAGCCTAGACTTTGTTAGCAACTCTTCTTCAGGGTTGGCAAATTCCTGTATTTGTACCTTTCGGCTCAAGATCAGAATTTCGTGTTTATCTTGACCAACAAGTTCTTCAACGATTGTTCGGCCCACGCCACCGGTACCTCCAGCGATTGCTACAGTGACCATGTCTGGGGATTGATCGAATACGTGCAATGGAGATGACTTGTTGTGATCTACGAGAAGAAGCGGTGATTGACGATGTCAATTGAACAGAAGTGAAGTGATTTATGGCCGTCTAAGCACTTCACAGCTTGACTTATATGGTCAGCTAGTGGACAAAACCCGGTCGGAAGCTCCATCGCTGTACTACGCGTGTTGTAAATCAGCCTCCAAGTATCTTGGCGCGGCGGCACGAAGTTGATCCTAGACGTTGATGGAAGCTGCGCCCTTCGTCGGCATGGGGATGGAAGCGGGGCGTAAGGACTTGGCGCCTCAGCTGTAATACATGACATCAGTTCTACAAACTATGGAATGGTTGACCCAAGTCCTGATGATTGTATTGCGGTACCATGGCGGACATACGGACATTCTGAAAGTGCGCAAAGTAGGAGTGTCAGCTTCAGGACGCGATGGGTACATCTTGCTAGCTGTATGCAGGCGTAGTCTACCGTGTAGAACCGGAGTCCGCGGATCGCCGATGTTTGTACCGTCAACCTAGGCTGAGTCGACGGGTGCTCTTAGGCGTTCAGCCAAGTACTTTTTTCCAATTACCTCCCGACTTTGCGTATTGATGACAAACTGCCATGCTTCCTGCAGCGCGATCCTTCACGCCAACGCTGCTCATGATACGTACAAGTCTTCTTAAGACCTGTGGATTTGTCATATCCCGAACAGTTCCCTATGTTGCGGGGACTCTGCCAATGCCTTGGAGCTGCTGGAAAGCTCCATCAATCATACCTCACAAGCTGCGCGTGTTACACCGAAAAACATCTGATCAGGGTGTACTAAACACGATCAATGCGAAAGCAGAGTGAAGAACAAAGCCTATGACGCGCGCACGCGATATTACACACCGCAGAAAGGATTGCCATCCAGGTGCAGTGCGCCATGGCCGTCAATTGTTCCAAGGAGCAGGTCAGCCATCCATTTTGAGAACCATTTGTTGCTTTAACGTTCCTACATATCATTCAAATCGACGATGTCACTACTAGAAGTTCATATTGATCTCCTGGAATTCAATTGTCACTGTGAAATCTGTGTCTGTATTATCCATAAATACTAACCAACATGGTCAGCTTCCACTTCCTCGTATTAGTCAACTCTCACAGTCTAGCATCACAGGCTCGAGAGATCGTTGAGTCCTCATACCTCATTTCAGCAAACACGGATCTCCACCACAGTCAACATGTTGCCATTTCTCCTGACAACCTTCTTAAAGGACAGGATCCTCAATAAGACCTTCTTCGTCTGCCTCTTTACCTTCATCTCTCTCATCATCTATCTCTTCATCCTCCTGGGCTGCATAAGCAAGGGCGTGGGAATCGAAAATCTATATTGGGTCATGATATCGCAGAACGGGACTGCTGGTCAGCTACCAGTTGAAGTGAGGATAGGGTATTTTGGTACGTCTTTGCCTTGGTTTGGCTCTCTGAGCGTGGAAATTGCCGCCAACATTGATTTGAGAGTGGCTGACATACCACAGGCATGTGCGCATCCTTCCCACCAAATGCCACAATGCCAAATGACAGACAGATTCCTGCACCATTAGAATGCTTCCCAGGTGATACACCACCGGGCCTTTCCAGCATACCGATGGAGCATCCCGTCCTTTCTTCTGCGCTGACTCTCCAGAAATCCGCTCTATATCCTCTCCCTGCACTCGCTTCATCCCTCTACCTTGTGTCTCTGATATATTATTTCATCTTTCGCGAACGAGGCGGCCGTAACGAAAAGATTTCCAAGTTCCTTTTAGGGGTCAGTGCAGCGCTTGGGGTTGCTGGAGCGTTGTGTGCCATGTCTAGTGCGAAGGCGTTGCACGAAATAGGAATTTTGCTAGGACATCATGCGATTGGTGGTGGAGAGGGCGAAGTGACGATTCAAGCCGGGAGTTGGGAAGGAGCTGGACTCTGTGTTGCAGCTGGCATCCACTTTTTCATTGTAATATATGCGGCATGTGGAATGCCCATTTTTGGTCTGGGATTTGGTAGGGGATACATCGGAAAGAGGTTTCTGTAGAACTGAACAAGATGGATCCCTCTGTGGTGAAATAAAGAGATGCGTGCTACGATGGCAAGATCGGTGTCCTGTGCATACAATCATTAGTACAGAGATTCGTAACTCGCGTCAATATCCAAATTTGTACAACATGGGTGACTGAAGATTCCGGGGTTTGGATTGAAGAATATCAAATACTGTCGAGCCCGTTCCCGAGTGTGCCCGCAACACCATGAACGCCTCGCCAAGGAAACCCTCGTGCCTGGGGATGCCGTTGCGTTTGTAACAGAGAAAGCGCTTAGAACTGATCGAGGGTCATGCTCATAGAGACGTCGGTGTTCTCAACCATCTTGGTGAACTCCTCGAAGCTGATCTTGCCGTCGCGGTCTAGGTCGGCCTCCATAATGGTCTTGTCGACGATCTACGTGCACGTTAGACTCGTGCGCTGTGCAGCTACCAGCTCGCCTCATTGTACGTACCTGTTGCAGCTGCTGGTCCTTCAAGTTGCTTCCAACCATCATCTTCAGTACTATGAAGAGCTCGCCGTTGCTGATGTAGCCGTCGCGGTCAATGTCGTATACGCGGAATGCAAAGCGCAGCTTCTCCTCCTTGTTTCCCTTGCTGCTGAAAGCCGAGAGACCGGAAACGAACTCCTGGAAGTCGACGTCGCCGCCACCGTCCTCGTCGAAGATGGCGATCATGCGTGTTGCGAGAGGGTTGGAAGAGATCTGGGGGAGGGCTAGGAATTCGTCGCGCTCAATGGTGCCAGAGTTGTCCTGGGCTGGAATTAGCCAAGCGGTCCAGAAGCCCTATACGTCCTTGGTCGCGCACCTTGTCCAGCTTCATAAATCGCTTCCTTAGGCGGTCAACCTCCTCGCGGTCGACTATGTGCTGTTAGCAAGCATTTCTCAGCCCCGCCAGCGCTCTGTCGAGCACGCCGTCGCTCTGGCCGCCTACGTACAGTTGGACCCGGAGGCTATGTTGTCGAGCAGCCCGGACTGTTGGTTACCCATTTCGGCGGTTGGTCTGGGGTAAGAATTGCGTGGTGGAGGATGTTGGCGTGGCTCAATGTCGTGGGGCTGCTTGGTCGCCGCCGCTAGGGTCCAGCTGCGCTAAAGGCAGGCACCGTTCCCCGACGTCAATCGCCAAGACTGTACATTCACTCCGGCGCATCTGCTGCCTTCAACATTCCTGTCGAGCTTCGCGACGTAGCAAGACAGCAGACACGATGGAGTCGGATATCCCCACCGAGATTGGTTCCGTGCTTCAAGGCGCATCCATCAACCGACACCCATCCGTACGGCACGACGCGAACCCATCGACGGCCGCATCCAAGAAGCAGCCCGTCACCCTCAATGAACACCCAGACCCCGACAGCTCGGAAGTCGGCGAAGATGAGATCCCAGTCAGCGTGCTGGACCCGGTACCGCGACAGAAGACGATGCCCCCACTGCCAGACCTGCGGTTTGAACAAAGTTATCTGAAGAGTATCGAGCAAGCAGAGGGGTGGCAGGGCGTGTTATGGATCACACTGCGGGATCAGGTACGGCTGCAACAAGGCCCAAAACCGGGCAATCCTCCGCTAACCTTTAGCACAGGTCATAATGTGCTTCGCCCAAGGCGTGATGTGGACTCTCGTACTCAATGGCTGGCGACATTGGAACCGTTCGGCCAAGTTCAGTGGACACGGCGTTGGTGCGCGGATACGGAGATGGTGGTGGGGAGTCAACAATTGGTCCATACCAAACGCAAAGTCCAAGTTGAGGGACACCAAGTTGGCAAAGAACGTAACGGAGGTAAGTGTGGCCTTCTTGAAAGTCTGGCGCCGAATGCACTTCTGGAATGTGGACTATTCGCTAACAGTCGCCTAGTACTATGAGGGAGAATTCTCAAGTGCGGCTCAAGATTGAATACCACGATTCATAGCATTTGATATGCCCATATCTGCGTCTGAATGTCATGGAGTAGGGCAGACCCTTTGATGGTTGTGAGGTCACTTCAAACACCGCACCTGGCCTTCTCAGTTTATGCTGATCATCAGAACCGTCCTACTAATGTGTCTCAGTCGCCTTATTCGCGTCTAGGCATTCATCGATTGTCACAATAGGATTGCAGCAAGGGCAGTTCTTCCAGTTGACTGCATGTATCTGTTCTACCCTTCAGCTCATACCGTCACATGATAAGCCTATTACGACTGCGGATATTTGCTACGTTACGTGGTTCGGTCGATTAGTGATACTACTCCGCGGAAGCTAACAATGTGGTGTTTGTACGCTTGCTGCGCCGGGACTAGTCGTACATGTGGCACAGCTCTCCTTGCATACGCGGTCGTACTCAACAACAACCTCAATACATTCTCCAGATCTGGTTTTCGCAAGCTCTTTGACGTGGTCGTTTTGATGTTCCCGTTGGCTAACGTTGATCGAGTAACGTGCGGAGTGGTCGACTTACTACAAGAATGAGGACAAGTTTCGGGAATGCTCTCGCCCGCATGGGGCGGGCGATGGTGACCCAACCTCGATTCAATCCAAATCACAACATATTTCGAGGATGCTATATGCAACTCCGACAAGCATCAGCCGCGGGGAAGAATCCCGAGACAAATTTAACACGTGGAACAAGCGCTGCGCTCCTACCAACACCAACCTCCAAGTCCAAGTTGCGCACGAACAATTCAAACGAGTCTCCTATCAAAGCAGCACACCCTCGCGTTATACCACCCATAGCGAAGAAATTTGACCTTGTCGTTCGACCTTCTATTTCCAGCCGCTCTGATCCGAGAAGCACGAAGGAACGTTGTCAGAGCGGTTTTCACAACACGGTCCTAGACGATTTGGTTTGGCCCAGAGACAGCCAGATAATCAGGCTGCCCTTAGGAGCTCAGCTGAGTTACGCAAGACTTGGTCGTTTGAAAGAGGTAGGACAATGCTGGGTCATATTTCATGGCACTCCTGGTAGCCGACTAGAGGTGGCAACCATACATGGTTATGCTCAAACCCATGGCGTCCGCATCATTGCCATTGACCGTCCGGGCTATGGCCATTCTACGCTTCACGGTAGAGGGATCTTAGGCTTCACGCAAGATGTCGAGCATTTGTTCGATTACCATGGCATTCAAGAGTTCAAGGTCTATGGTGTGAGTGGTGGAGGACCATATGCGTTAGGGGCAACATTCCATTTCCCAAAAAGCAGGCTGAGCAAGACATCTATCATGTGCGGCTGTAATCATCCCGACTTTGCAAGCACGGGACTATCTTTGAGAACGAGACTGACGTTATGGCTCAGAGGCAGAGCGTCTTTCCTGTATTCATCCGGCGGTAATTTCAACTACTTCCTCCACAGAGACGTTGTGAGTGCCAAAGGTAACGAGACAAAAATTCTGCGCGCTCGTTTGAACTGACAAGAGGCGGCAAGGCAAGGTCATGAGGGATACAACAATGATCTCAGACTCAAAGTACGACCGTGGGGGTTAGTGATGTCACCATAAGAATTGCATAGGAGTTCTGTACTGACTGCGCACACCAACATCTAGATTTGACTTGGAAAACATGGATGCCAATCCTATAAGATGGTATCATGGGACCATAGACACCAATGTATCATACGACGCAGCGAGAAAGACTGCAGAGATTGCTAATCGCTACAAGCGCAACATTGACTTTAGGGCATATGATGGCTTAGATCATGGGACCATCCAAAGCAAAAAGATTTGGGAGTGTTTAGACTGGATGTTGAAGTAAGCATCCTTAGGAAGTAACTATAGTAGTTATAGAAGGTTTTTGAAAAAGTGCAACTAGGTGTTTCGATCTTAGAGCGTGCGTCTATCATGTCGCGGCGTCGTTATCAGAATGTAGGACGAGCTCTTGCCCAGTAACTTTTTATTTCAATGTATCTATTATCACAGAGTGTGCATTCAAGGTATGTACGGTAACACATGTGGAAGCTGGGATAGAGAAATAATAGTACACACTTGTAGGATTGTTTTGATCTTGGGTACAACTTGTCGAGACGTAGATATGCATAGTACACATCTTTTCTTATGGAACGATGATAATGCTACTAGAATAAAAGGCTTTGACTGGTCTTTCAAAGCGGCATACCGACGATCTGAACCTATAAGTGTTTAGAGAGTACTTACCACTCCGGGAACTAGGGTAATACCGACGCCACGTGACTACGCGCTTTAGCGTTGTGGCGCGTCGCCTCCCAAGACTTCATCATCGACCCCAAAGCATCCGGCTTGACGACATGCTACCCCACATCCAACAATCGAACAGATGAAGCCTTTCAGGCCGCTTACCCTCGCTCGCCCTCGATCAGAGACTGGCGAGCCACCGAGCAAGAAACGGAGAATCTTGTCCAACGCGCTTTCCTCTGGCAGTCGTCAACCTCTCAACACGCTCAATAATCCCGCGCCAGCACAGTTCCTGCCCCCGGGTCTCGACGGAAACTACTACACAGTATTATGGCGGAAATACACAACTAAGAAGAACAAGACGTGGGATGGCGATGGAGTGCTCGCTGTGACAGGTGGTTATGCCACGCTCACGGATAGCGAGACGGGAAAAGAGCTGGGCAAGGGAGTATGCAGCCGGCCGCTACTTCCAGGCTCGGCGCTGTCCGTTGGTGGCAAGGAGATTGAAATTGAAGGCCCCATCGACAAGGCGGACTACCTCGCTAGGCGCACATTGCCAGGCAATGCTGCAGCTGCGCCTGTAGCTCAAACGAAGCACACCGAATCGGGATACAAGCCTCTCTCATCGGAAAAGAAGAAAGCAAGCAAGAAAAATAACGCTGCTGGTAATGGGGCGAATGTACCAGATTACAAGCCATCGGCCCAGCGCAAGCAACAATTCAAGGCCCCTCTCTTGTCAAATACCGTCATGCCTCAACGAAATCCATCGATTCCACAGCCACGTCACGACCCTCACGCGCCCAATGCTCTAGTCATGAAGCGGCCCAAGTCCTGTCCGACCGGAAAGCAGATTGTTGACGTTGTCGTCGACCCAGTCCTCAGCAAGCACCTTCGCGAACATCAACGCGAGGGTGTGCAGTTTTTATACGAATGTGTCATGGGCATGCGATGCGAGGGCGAAGGAGCCATCATGGCTGATGAGATGGGTTTGGGCAAGACATTGCAGACCATAACCTTGCTCTGGACGCTGATGAAACAAAATCCGATATACGATACCTCACCAGTAATTACCAAGGCCCTCATTGTATGCCCGGCTGGCCTGGTCGACAATTGGAAGCGCGAGTTTCGAAAATGGCTAGGCAACGAGAGAGTTGGTGTATTTGTGCTAGACGGAAAGAACAACAAGATCACCAACTTCACAATGGGCAAAGCTTATAACATCATGATCGTCGGATACGAGATGTTGCGTATCGTACAAGATGAGCTGAAGAAGGGTAGTGGTGTCGATATCGTGATTGCAGATGAGGGCCATAGGTTGAAAACCGCTAACAACAAAGCAATGCTTGCAATCCAGTCTCTCAATACTGAGCGGCGGATCATACTGTCAGGAACGCCTTTACAGAACGACTTGGGTGAGTTTTACACCGCAATTGACTTTGTCAACCCTGGACTACTCGGGCAACGAACGGCTTTCAAGCGTTCATTCGAAGTGCCCATCATGCGCAGCCGTCAGCCAGGGGCGTGTGAATCAGAGCTCGAAAAAGGAGAGGCACAATGGAAGGAGCTCGTATCTCTCACCAGTCAATTCATGATCCGACGGACAGCAGAGGTGCTTTCCAAGTACCTTCCACCCAAGACTGAGCACATTGTTTTCTGCAGGCCGACTAAAGGGCAGGCAGAGGCATATCGCGCAATACTGAATTCGCCGACATTCAGAATTGCACTAGGAAGTACGGATATTGCACTACAACTCATCAATGTGCTAAAGAAGGTCTGCAACAGCCCTTCTTTGCTCAAATCATCAAAGGATAATGATGACACGCCATCGGAAATGCTACAGTCGCTTCTCCCTCTTATACCGAGTAAGATTCTCAGCTCAAGTGCTTCAAGCGCGAAGCTGCGACTGCTTGACAGCCTGATTCACCGAATCTATACTACCACAGAAGAGAAGATCGTCATCGTTTCGAACTATACTACCACACTGGACATGATCGAACGACTTCTTGTTTCGTTATCGTACACTTTCCTCCGTCTGGATGGTAGTACCCCAGCTTCCAAACGCCAGGCTCTTGTGGAGAAATTTAACAAGACTCCGAAAACCGCATCGTTCGCCTTCCTTCTATCTGCCAAATCTGGTGGTGTGGGTCTTAATCTTATTGGTGCATCGCGCATCGTGCTGTTTGATATCGACTGGAATCCCGCTACAGATCTGCAGGCTATGGCGCGTATCCATCGTGACGGCCAGAAACTACCGTGTAAGGTATATAGACTCCTCATTCAAGGCGGCCTAGATGAGAAGATTTATCAGCGCCAAGTTATGAAGATGGGCCTTGCAAATGCTGTTGTGGACAACAAAGCCTCTGCATCCTCTTTTTCGCAGGAAGAACTTCGCGACCTTTTCCGGCTAGACGAGCGTGAAGGTTGCCAGACACACGACATACTCGGTTGTACGTGTGACTGTAAGGGCTCACCGGAAATCAAAGCCGAGGAACAGGACGTGGCTGCCGAAGACAATACCGATGACCCAGAAGGAGATCCCTACCCAACCCTTACAAAAGCAAGCCAGGTCAACATTGAGGAACAGGAAGCGAAGATCAAGGCTAGGCGCGCGGCGAAACTTCCCAAGCTCAGAATGTTGATGGAATACCGACATATTGACACCAAGATACTCAAAGAAACGGTGACGGATGAGCAAGGAGGGAACGAAGAAGCAGGGGTCGTTGATGACATGGCGGTGGCGGTGGATGACGACGTATTCCTCGACGTCCTAAAAGAATCGGAATGCAATGTCGGCTTCCTGTTAACGAAGTCGACGTCTTAGATGCATCATATACATGGTATGAGAGAAAGAAAGATTCAAGACTTTTACATGCATAGCGTCGGAGTTCTGGTTCTAGATAGCCCACTCAGCACTCTTAGCCTCCAACAGCTTTTCGTGTCGTTACGATTGAGAGACAGCTATCCAATTTTAAACTCGCTTTGAATATTCTACATGTTAAAGTGAAAGGCACAATGGAGTTCTTTCTCTCTGCTAACACAAGTGAGTTGGTATGATCACACCGGGAGTGGCTAGATCGGTGGTAATGAGTAGACAAGGACGAACGTGGACGGTCGATATCACAGACGACGGAGGAAGCTAGGCCCAATGACTATGTGGTAACATGTGACAAAAAAGTCGATTTAAGATTATGCAGAACAGCATATAGGATGGGTTGATTGGAAACCTTTGAAAACAAGAGAGAACCGGGTATACGCGCCGACATTATAACCTTTTCCATGAACACCATTCCACGCCATCCATAACAAGAGCGACGAGCGTGCGGATAACCAACCAATAGGAAAGTATAAACAAGAAGCGAAGAGCAAAAGAGCTGACAACGTTGAAACGACGAAAGAGTAGGAAATGACCACTAGAGTTCATATACCACCCATATCCACCTCGTTGGACAGAAAATCCGCCTCTTCAAAATCACTTCCGCAGCCTGCGCTAAGCCTACCCTCGATGTGCGATGCATTCACAAAATCCATATCGATGTCATCGTCGCTAATTGTCCTTTGTACTGCTCTTCTCGATTTGGGTTGCGCGAACTGCCTCACCGGCGGCAGCATATTCAGTCCTGGAGGCGGAGTCTCGCTCAGCGGGCTGACAGGCACCTCGTCGACCTCAACACCCATACCCATGCCCTTTGTCGAGGATGAGCCGAAGAAGAAGCTAGTGTCCAATGGCCTGACTTCGTCTTCGTCTTGCCATGAGCGTTTCGAGGGGTTGTGTGGGCGTTGCGACGTGGTGGAGCAGCCACTGTCGGTGGAGGCTGTCGAGGAGAATGGCTGGGTGAAGGTTTCGGCAGGAAGAGGGAAGTAATTGGGTGGTGATAGAGTGGCGGTCGTGTTGTAGAGATGTGGGTTTGTTGTAGGCTGTTCAGCAAAGCCTCCAATCTTGTGCAGACCGCAAAACGGCAGCAGTTCTCGCTGGTGTTGAACTTGGTCTGGCACAGCTTCTCGTGGCGGCTTGACGGCCAATGTGGGTCTCGACATGGTGTTCTGAACCGAGGACAGTTCGGAGACCTTGTGCGTCTTGTAGCCTTCCGGCACACTCTTTCTGACTCTCATTCCGACGCTCAGCAAGCCTGCTTGCACCTGTCCTGGGATGTCGGGAGCGAGTCTCTCCCTGTGCTGCTGCTGCTGTTGCTGCTGATGTTGTGCAGCGCCTCGCGTGGTTTGGCGTCGCGGTCGGGTAATCGGATCTAGGCCCCGCAGATCGTCGTTATCCTCGAAATCGTCCCGCACCTCAAAATAGCTTGTAATGCTGGGTTGGAACTTCCTCTTGCTGCGGTGTTCTTCTGCCGGCGCGTGGCGAGCTTGCATAGCGGGTGTCAAGTGGGTAAGTGTGCGAGAGAAGGGGGGCGAGGTTGGCAGGCAGAGAAAGGCAGAATTATGCAGTCTCGCTGCGGTGGAGAGGGGATCTTTCTGATGCCGCTTCAATGCACGCTCGAGCCTTTGGGGGCTGAAGACGAACAAGGATCCGGGATGACAGGACGGGTGATCAATTTAGATGCTCGACGAGGAACGGCGGGTAGGTTTCGTTTTCTGATTCAGAGCCGATGGAAATAACTGAAGGCGGGAAAAAGCAAGAGGGTCAGAAATGCTCGAAGGCCTGGCCGGATGACGGCAGTTGATGTGGATGAGGAGTCGTGACGCGACAGGCCGAACCAAGAGAGCCAAACGATGATCGTTGACCGGCTTATTCACGCGTTCCCCCACTGCGCATCGCTCACTCTGTAAGCTGTCGATTGTCTGAGATGCAGCGTCGTCCCCAACATTGTGCTGAAACCGCTACATACAGTGTCTCATGATCAATGTCTTGGTGGTACAAAGACATTTGCTTGTCGCGCTTGCCCTCGTTGCTCCGCAACAACACCTGCATGCTGCCTCGTCCAACTTTCCAGACAGCTTTCCTCAGCAAGCATTGCCATCTTCCCAGAATCAAACAGCGCCATACATACGGCTCAGCGTGATTACGTTCTGGATACCGGCATGCCTTATTCCCGTTCACGCAAGCTTACGCACCCTCTACTCAACTCCAGGGCGATCGTCTATTGGATCTGCCGATCCTGATCTGGACCCAATTCCCCGCCACACCGGTGCACAATGCATCATTCAGTCCGAACTATGACGAAGATGCGAATTGGACGGAGAAAGTGGCCTCCATTTGCCTAATAGTACATTGAAAGGAACACCCTTGTTCATAGTCACGTATAGAAACCATTACACCGGTACGCCTTCCCTGTTAGGACACGCTTGCTGATAGAGATCCATAACCCAAATGCATCAAATCTCTCGACTTGCCACGTCCCATCAAGCGCTTGTTTGCTTCTTTCATCATCCTGTCTTACATCGGCCTCGCCTTTACGATGTAGGCACAGGAATGTTGCCCATCTCAACTTCCTTCCTTTGTTGCCTTGCTGCCCACTTATCCGCCATCCAAGTGATAACCGTAACAGCCATGCTTGCGCCTACAAGCAAGAATACAATGAGCGTGCCAATAAGCGCGAACTTGCTGGCTCCACAAAGCGTCTTGAAGTCTCCGTTTCCCATGCCAGCCGGCATAGCGATATCGCCCGGCAAATCCTGAGCAAGCGGTTGCGAGTTCTGCATCTTGCAGGTCCAGGTTTGGATGGTATCAACTTCCGGAGCGTTGTTGTTGAGCATGTGTGCCCAGATCGTCGTAATCAGAGTAAGGAGAAGAGTAGGAAGGAGAGTGGCGAGGGAAAGGAGGGCGCGGAGAGTGTACTTCTGGCGAAGGGCAAGCTGGTGCTTGTCAGTATGCATCCCTACACACAATTATGTTAAGGTTGTTGCTTACCTGAGGCACAAATGATGCGATCAAGAATGCACCACAGAGAACCAGTGTCACGACGGACGACGCGATGAGTGCTTTGGTACCCTGAACGTCGAAATGCTGAGGCCACATCGGTGCCCACCAAGGGTTCGTGAGATGTTGCCTGTTGAAGACATCCAGAGTGTATGCCGAAGTGCCAAGAATACATATGCTGAAGACGACGACGAGACCTGTGATGATGGCCTGTGCCAGGTGGAAAGGAGCGGGGTTGATCTTCATCTTGATCGTAGTCTTGCTTCAAAGGTATTCCTTGTGGTATTATACAAACGCAAAGCGTAAGGTATGAGGGTATAAGAATTGGGTCGTTGAATTGGTGTCAACCAGGAGCACCTCTCTTTCTTGAAATGAAGGACGAATAACGAGATAACGAAAGAATAAGCAAGCACAGAGGGCCTGATATAACCTGAGGCTTTGAGAGAACCTTTGCCTGGGATGATGGGAAACAACTCTGGGGGTGGCACATGCCTTTAAAACGACTTGGTCGCAATTCGGGTTTCAAGCCTACAGAACACATCGTGCAACCCCCTGCAGCCGTCTTCAGTTCGCGTCTCGAAATAGACGAACAAGAGCAAAGAAAGAACGGTAATCTGTCTTGCCGCTGCGACTATCGGTGGAACTTGGGTTAGCAGCGCCGGACTGCTGGGTTGGCGGTGGTGGTGTATTGTTATTCGCAGCGCGTAAGCTGCAGACCAGTCTTAGAATAGTGATATTAACCAGCATATCGTATTGCCGCATTGCCGCATATGTACATTTAGCAGCCCATACCGTTCACTGTGGTCTGTGACCTCTCCACTCAATCAGTGAGGTTGCCGATCGTACCGTGCGTCAGACTCTGTGGCTTGCCTGTGGTTCCACTGGTAACGAAACATGGCAAAGTCAGAGCATGAGCGGCTGTAGTGCGCTTTCATGCCGTCGAATGAGGGTACAGAGTGACCTGAATGCAGGGTCACTAAAGTGTGAAACGCGAATGCGGTGCGGGCGCTTCGAGAGTTCAGGTGCAGATGTTGATTCGCGGGGTGTATAGGCGCTTACGAGTTTATGGTGCTTTCGCGCTATGATTGGCTGTGAGCTTCTCAAGCAGGTAAGAACATGAGATTTCACAACCAGCAAAAATAGCAGTTCAATTTAGACGGTAAGCTTGGTGAATATTCGGATAGACTGATGGGAAGAGTAGATGGCCAAGTGCACTTGGATACGGCAACGATAGATGAGAAGCGTGCTTTGTTATATAGAACTTGACAGTACTGTTGGAGTAGAGGAATTTACAACCCTCATTTCCTGGCAATCCTGCTACCAGTCAATGCGAAATAATACATATGTAGCCGCTGGCTAGGGTATTCCTGATCAAGCTAAAGTATGTCGCAGTGGTACAAAACGCCCATGACCGGAGGAATGGCTCGTACGCGCTTTCATAGTTGACCAGTGAGACCCCCAAAGCCCCACTTCCGCCGCCCAGAACTTTGTGTGTCCTTCGCCTTGCCCTTTTTCGCAGCCTCTAGGGAATGTTCCTTCTCCCATTCTTCGTCGGCCTTGTACGCTGTGATTGCGTGCTCGAGGTTATAATCGGCTTGTTCAAGGTAGAGAAGAGCAACATCGTACCTGTCACGGAAGGTCAGTTTCTGTATCTTTACGATGAATTGAAAGGTTGTAGCGCTTACTCGGCGACCTTGCATCTAACCATGAACTTCCGTAGCTTTGTCTTCTTGATCTCTTCTTCCTCTCCCTCTAGTGGCCTCGGACTAAGACTGACCCCACCTTTGTAGAACTCTCCAGGTATAAGGACCGTTCTACGCGCCGCCAGCAGATGGTCTGCATATAAGTTATTCGTTCGGCGCAAAGCATCGGCGGGTACACCGTATCGAAGCGATAGTGACAAGATCGAGTCGTTGTTCTGATCAACAAAGTGTAGGACATCAGGCGCGTTTTCAGCATCTGAGTTCGTCTTTTCAAGCGGCGGTTGTAGCGCGTTGTGTGCTGAGTATGGCGGTAGTTCGTCGCCGGCTTGCTGCTCGTCTGGTGGCGAATACGTAGGAGGATCGCGTAGGCCATGTGTTGGTAGTGCCGATGGTCCCGTCGATATCTGGCAATATGGACAGTAGTTCTGGAATCTCGGATTGTCCGTCAAGCATCTGGCGCATATGGCACGGTCACAGCAGTCAAGTCTACGCTCGAACTGTGACGGTTTTTCGGTCTTCTCATCGTATGTTGGAGGTATCGACGACAGGAGGGCAGCGCAGGTACAGCATGCCTCAGACATGGTGATATAGTATAGCAGACTTTGGTGTATACTGACAGATTCTAGACTTGGGCTCGTGGGAGATGGTCGGAGGCAAAGTGACTGCCGCTACGTCATGACTAAGACGGTTAGCGATCGCGAGTGCACGTGAAGGCGCGATAGTGCTGAAATGTTAGCTAGGATCAAGCCATGCGCCCAAGACATGGGCTTTCCTCGGCGGAGAAGACATCGTCGGTCTATATCGCGACAGCAAAGTGATGTGAGGACTGGCAGGTGTTGAAGTGTGGCAGCCTGGGAGCGTGGAGCGTGTGCAAGGGTCCGTCGCTGCTGCCAAGTCCATGTCCATTAGCGAGCACACGGACCACGACACCAATTTTCGCCAAACTCGAACTTTTCGCGATCTCCCATCTTCCTTACCGCCCACCGCAATCACACGAGGTATGTCTTTGACCCGAGTGCCCTTCAGAGCCAGGAGATGCACTCGCCGTCGTCCGCAAGGATGAAGGCGACACTGCCTCTCCTCTTCGACAAGAGCTGAAGAACCCTCATGCAAGGGCACTCTCCATGCTCTGGCATCTGGAGGCTAACCACCCACGCGCAGATACCTCAGTCGCCTCCGCCACAGAGAATCTCCCGATAACACCGTCAAAATGGTCAAGACTTCCGTCCTCAACGATGCGCTCAACGCCATCAACAACGCCGAGAAGGCTGGCAAGCGCCAAGTCATGATCCGTCCTTCTTCCAAGGTCATCGTCAAGTTCCTTACTGTCATGCAGCGTCACGGTATGTTCATCTTTGTACTTACATTCGTCGCACGCGCAATCCACCCTGCCTGAAGACGTGTGCAATGCCGCCCAATGTTCTCCGCTAGTAAACCTACATCACCTCTTCGGGCTGATAACTACTCACTGATCTCGACTCCCCACGATCAATGAGCTTTAAGTGTCCGATATATTAACTGCGGAGAACTTACACGTCTTCGGATCCCTTTCATGACGTCTGATGTTTATTTCGCCGCAACATTCACTGATATTGTTATTCAGGCTACATTGGCGAGTTCGAGGAGGTCGACGACCACCGCAACGGCAAGATCGTCATCCAGCTCAACGGCCGCATCAACAAGACCGGTGTCATCTCTCCCCGCTACAACGTCCAGCTCCGCGACATGGAGAAGTGGGTTGTCAAGCTACTCCCCTCGCGTCAATTCGGTTACATCGTCCTCACCACCTCTGCCGGTATCATGGACCACGAGGAGGCCCGCAGGAAGCACGTTGCCGGAAAGATCCTTGGTTTCTTCTACTAGATTACTCGAATTTGTGGTGGAGTGGGATGCAATATACCCGGACTTGGGCAAGCATATGTTTGGCCAAGTAGTCCATCATGGAACGTTAAACGAAGAAATGACAAAAGTTCATGACTGGGATCGCTACAACTCTGACAACGGTGCATGCGATATGAGTTGTCCTTGTGAAATATGATTTGCACCTTTCGCTGTTTTCTTATAATGAGTCCCAATGATACTACATATGCAAGATATCAAAATCCCCATTCGAAATTGAGCTATTAGTAGAGTAATGATCATCACTCAGTATCGCATGTCCATCCTGAATGATTCAGACTATTGATTTCATTAACCATGTACAAGATAAAAACATCAAGTATGCTATCCAGAAAACGCCAGCCCGTGCTTCTACTTTTATGAGCAATCATCAGCCGTAACTCGTAATCCCATCATGATGCCTCTATCGGAGCATACATATGTTCCCCATGAAAAAAAAACTTCCTAAACGCCTATGCTGAAATTCACTTAATATCCTTCCCCAGTTTCACTGAATTCCTCTAGTCGTAAAGATCCATGTCTCCATCAGCGTCATCCAGTTCGGCCACAGCATCGGACTCATCGTACATTTCCGAGTCGTCCTCGCTGTCGGTATGGTTGGGTAGTACCAAGATGTGTCCGTCATCCAGCACAACCCTAGCTGTCTCACCCTCTTTGATAGAACCGCGAAGAATGAGCACAGCAAGACGGTTAAGAACCTCCTTCTCGATGAGTCGTGCAAGTGGTCTGGCACCATAGGCTGGTGAGTAACCTGCCGAGCCAAGGTAATCCCGTACCTCTGGCGTCATCTCGATGCGTACATTGCGGCCGTTCTGGTTGAGTCGCTTCTGGATCTCGCCCAACCTCACATCGACAATCTTCCGGATTTCGCGCTTGGTAAGACGGTTGAAGATGACAATGGAAGAAATACGGTTCAGGAACTCAGGGAGGAACCAGTTGCGCAACGCGCCCATGACCATCTCCTTGGTGGTGGGGTCAATCTTGCCGTCGGGTGCGTTTGGTCGAGACAAGTGTTCAGCACCCAAGTTGGATGTCATAACGACGATGCAGTTCTTTGCATCAACGACTCTGCCTTGGCCGTCGGTAATACGACCGTCGTCCATGAGTTGAAGAAGGACAGTGAGTACTTCTTTGGCAGCCTTCTCAACCTCATCAAACAGGAGGATAGAGAAGGGCTTGCGACGAAGAGCCTCGGTAAGTTGACCTCCTGCATCGTGTCCGACGTAGCCAGGTGGTGCACCAATCATCCTGCTAAGGGAGTGTCGCTCTTGGTACTCGGACATGTCGAATCGAATCATGGCCTTTGCATCGTCGAACAAAAACTCTGCCAGAGCCTTTGTAAGAAGTGTCTTACCAGTACCAGAAGGACCGCAGAACAAGAAACTGGGCGGTTGGTTGGGGTTGGCCAGACCGGAGCGCTGTAGTCGGATGGCGTTGGAGACGGAAACGACAGCCTCCCTCTGGCCAACAACAACTTCTTGGAGATGACGCTCCATGTTGAGTAGCTTGTCCTTCTCTGTGGTCTTCAGCCGTGTGACAGGGATACCCGTCCAGCGAGCGACGATCTCGTTGATCTGATCTGGACCGACAGAGTCGCTCATGAGAGCCTCACCACCTCCACTTGCCTGGTGGGCCCACATCTCAGCATCGGCGCGGGCCTTGTCCCGCTCCAGCTCGCTGATGCGTTGCTCGACATCAGGAATGGCGTAGTACTTGAGGTCTGAAGCAGTCTGAATGTCGCGCATACGCTCGGCTTCAGCAAGCTTCGTCTTGAGACCTTCGAGCTTGAGCTTTTGCTCTTGAATGTCCTTGCTACGACCCTTCTCACGTTCGTACATCTCACGGAGCGGCTTAAGCTCTTCTTCAATATTGGCAGCTTCCGCTCGCGCCTCCTTCAGACGGACCTGAGATGCCTCATCCTTCTCTCGGGAAAGCGCGTGAATCTCGATTTGTAGTTGTCGGTGGCGTCGCTCGAGATTATCAAGCGCTTCGGGTTGCGATTCTCTTGTGACACGGACGGCTGCCGCAGCTTCATCGATCAGGTCGACGGCAGAATCAGGCAGTCGGCGTTGAGTGAGGTAGCGGGCAGCAAGAGTAGCGGATGCAACAATAGCACCGTCCATGATGGTGACACCGTGATGAGTTTCGTAGCGCTCCTTGAGACCACGAAGAATAGAAATAGTCTCGGGGATCGATGGTTCTTTGACGAGAACCTGTTGGAAACGACGCTCGAACGCAGCGTCCTTCTCAATGTACTTTCGATACTCGCCCAGGGTGGTCGCACCGATGCAGTGAAGCTGTCCACGAGCCAGCATGGGCTTCAGCAAGTTGGCAGCGTCCATGCCTCCCTCTCCGGAAGAGCCAGCGCCCATGAGAAGATGGATTTCGTCAACGAACAATACTATCATCTCCTTTGACTCCTCAATCTCCTTCAGGACACCCTTCATGCGGTCTTCAAACTCTCCACGGTACTTGCTGCCAGCAACTAATGCACCGACATCGAGAGACAGTAGTTTGCAGGCTGCGAGGTTGGCAGGTACATCCGCATCGACAATGCGGCGGGCAAGACCCTCGACAACTGTAGTCTTACCAACACCAGGCTCTCCGATGAGGACTGGGTTGTTTTTGGTTCGTCGAGTCAAGATGCGGATGACTCTGCGTGTTTCGTCTTCTCGACCAATGACAGGGTCGATCTTGCCCTCCCGTGCCATTGCTGTCATATCGATGGTAAACTTCTTCAAGTTCTCGTTCTCCTCTTCGGCATCAGCCGTCTTGGAGTCTACCCGCTTTGTGCCTCGAAGTGCTTGGATGGCATTGTCGATTTGCTTTACGTTCGGAACGTTCGACTCGGCAAGGATTCGTTGTAATTGAGCATCCTGGCAAAGAGACTGGATGAGGTGGTCGACGGCAATGAAGCTATCTTTCTGTGTTTTGCTCAAGTCTTCTGCAGCGCGAAGCACCTTGGCCATAGCAGGTGAAGGTGAGGTACGCTCTGGTGGAGGGTCTTGGCTTGGTAACCGTACCATAGCCTTCTTCAGGTTGCGCTCGAAGAGTTGGGGGTCGCCATTCGCGCGTTCGAGGACTTGCTTGAATAGCGGCGGCGGTGGGACATCGACCTGGTTCGCTAGATCTTTGGGCGGATCTATAAGCGATACGGCGAGGTGGAGGGGTGTGAGTTGTGAGTGCGCATAGCCCTTAGCTAGGTCGAAGCTGTCTGCTAGAGCTTTCGCGGCGCGGTCGGTGTATGCGTCAAATGAAGTCATCTTGATTCGTGGCTATTATGTCTTGTATATGGCCCGAAGCCAGAGGAAATAGCGTGTGTCGTGAGCTTGTGCTCAGGATTCGTGTATGCGATGTATTGGTGTTGGGTATCTCTGAAGATCAAAAGAGGTGTTACACAAAGACTCGAGGGATTTATATACGTTAAAGACAATTGTACGCAGTTGTTCGCGAAGAGTCAGGAAGCACTCAGTGGCATCGTGTGATTTCTCGTCATATCTCGAAGCTAGTCGTGGTTTCTGCCCTGTCGGTAGAAGCTTCTGGAGCTTCGTACAGGTTTCCGGTCAGGCAAAGTTGCCCGCCAATCACGGTTACGTCACTTCTACCACGCCTTACCCGATCTGGTCTGGGTCAGTCGCGTCGGCCCAACCGGTGCCACATCAGATCACCACGAGATGTATACCCAACGTTGTTCGGCCTACAATCATCACATCTCAAGATGATTCACTTGAGACATGGGTGGGTCTATGAAGAGCGTGGCGGGATATGACTCCTCATCCCTGGAAATTCGGCCTTCGATGCGAAAGCTCATAGCCCAAGACATCACCGACACGTCAGACATTGAATACCCTCTCCACGTTTGTTGTCATCTGCTGAAGATAGCGCTTGATCATTGTATTCAAAGTCATCCTCACCGGAAACACCTGCGCCTCACGTCTGCCTTTTACCCAACGCATCGTCCCGACACTTCTTCTCATGTCGCATCTTACACACCGTCATGCGATGAGCGTGAACATTGCCATTAATGCATCTACAGTCTACAAGACTACAGACGTGCACGGTCCGAGTAACTAATTTAATTCGTATGCTTGCGCCAAGAATCTGGGGTACGATACCGACAATACGGACATCTAATATTGCTGCCACCAACGCATGAAGAATACTACATGGTCGTCTCAGTGTTGAAAATACGGCCGATGACCTGCTGTGATGAAATCCCAGCTCATATCTTTCTGTAGCTGAACACGGTACCTTCAGCCATGGTGCATATCAGAAATGAGCACTTGGATTACAAAAATGCAGGAGAATCATGTGTTATTTGGACGATTTGATCCGAATAGCCGGGCTTTACAATGTAACTTTTCGACATCTGAGAAACCACCTCAAACTCCTTGACTACTCGCTCCCTCTACTGACCTACTGCTGGTGTCCAGATACCTTTTTCGGCGCCATCGCATACCAGCGCATCGACTTAAACTTACGCACGTTAAACATCCAGCCCCAGTGAACGCCGCGAAGATAGTGAAGTACCACCCACGACCCACAGAACGCATCAACGGATCGATTATAGCCGCAGACGCCGCGCTGAATCCGCCTCGTGCAAGCTGACCCGAGGCATACGCAGTGCTCGGTACTTCGGGAAACACGTCCACGAGGAGCGCGTTCGCAGTATGACTTAGCAGTGTAGCTAAGGTGGAAATGAAGAACTCTAAGACAAGAAGAATCGCAGGGTGTACATTGTGTTGTACTGCCCAACCATAGCCCGTTATAAAGGTCATCTCAGCGAGTATGATTGGTATCATGTTTCTGAAACGGGCGTTTTCGATTGGAAAATCTAGTATATTCGCTGGATCCGCGATCTCAATTTGACGTGCATGATGAGCATAGTTGAAGTCCATAAGCTTTCCAGCTATTGTGCCGCCGATCGTCATACCAGTTAGCGCAGGGAGGAAACTCAGGCCAAT